CATTTTCTGTATCAATATCTCAAGAAACAATCTTACCCGAGTTAAAGGTAGAAATTAAAAACATGCTTGCATTTACTTCGTTTCACTACAACATGGCAAAAGGTGAAAGCCAAGGTCACTGAGACCAGTCAGAGCGACAAAGCAAAGTATGTGACAGGGCCCCGCACGAGCAGAGCACCCCGACGGTACATTGTCATGTGCCCGCTTTGATATTCTAATTGCCTGTCACAGCTTTGTTGGTTTGCCACATTACGCTCAAATGGAGTAGCTACGGTGTCCATCTGCAGACGTATATGCAACTGGCATAACAGCCCAGAGATGGCAACAGCAGTGGCAAAGAAAAGGCAAAAAAAAAACTAACTCCTTTCGGCCTCTGCAAAAACAGAGAGTATTTTCCGGTCGAAAACGTTCAGTCAAACCCGTTTATATCGAACTCGCAAAAAAACGTCTACCAGTTCGATATAGCGGGCAATTCAATATAAAAGTTTTAATGAATTTGACTCTCAAAAATCCACTTTCTGCTGACATATTACACAATGAAACAGTCTTGCATTTTCTGCTGCCTTTTCTTCATTGCATCCGTGATAACGATATCTTTCTATGCTATCGAGGGACTCAAAATGCTGAGGCCGCTGCCCTCTATATTTGCGCATTAGCGCCGAACTACGCCGAGAGCACGGAGCACGTCCGAGCAGGAGCACCTTCTCCTGCAGAGCGCTGTTTTGCTCTGAAAGTTGGCTTTCCCCTAAGGCAGGTGGTTGCATCAGGGGTAAGCCAGCTAGCAGAGCAAGCTGGCTTTTTTTCCTTCCGGGCGGCCGCATGAACCACCCGGAAGAAAAAATAATAGGTATTCTCTTTTGCGGACGGAGCGGGGAGAGGAAGCATGCAGCACCCTCTCCCCACTCCCCCGCAAAAGAGATTTTTTTTTTCTTCCGGGCGGTCAACCAACATCTTTTAGAAATAAGGCTGTAGTGCTCCGACTGGTTACGTGACAATGTCGGAGAAGGAAGGCCATGGCGCAACTACATAAAGATATATCTGGTATCGACGTGAAAAAAAATTTCTGGTCGAGCGGCATAGTGGTGTTCATGCACGTTTAGCGGACATTAATATACATTTTAAAATTGCAGTCTTGTACAATTTATTATATATATAATGTAAACGTAATATACAACACGTCACCAAGGTTGAAAGTTCCAAATTTATATTTATGACTATTCCCGTAACCGCGGGACTATGTGCAGTCCCGTAGCTCCCCACACTTTTCGAATGAACTGGTTCCAACACATCTTTTCTCATGCGGGCTACGATTCTGGTAAACTTATGTTGTGTGTGAGCTGCTGACTGTCTGAAAAGGAACGCTGAGACATTTCAGAAGGGAAGGTAACTGAAGAAAAACCCAGCCATCGCCGCAGGGAGTGCACACAAGCAAGCGATGGGTCGACAATGTTAAGCCTTTGGTCCCACACTGCTGAGTGTGCTCACGTGTGTGGTTCTTTTAAGACTCGTTTCCCACTTCGCGTCCTTTTTCTGTCGTCACCGCTGTCTTGGGAAGTTTTAATGCAAAAGCATTAACTGTCTCTTGGAGCGAGCTGACGTCAACAGTTTGAAGCGCGAAAATGGCTCCTAGTTTCCGCGATAGCCTTCGGTTCCATTGGCTGGCGCGCGTCGACGGGGCTCCCATTGGCCGCTGCGCCATGGCCTCCAAGATCCCGAAGTGTGTGCGTGCTAGTACGCAGCAGACGATAAAGGGAGCGGACGGGCAGACGACAAAGGGAAGCGGACGAGCGGCTTGCATTCTTTTGCATTCACAACTCATAAGAAATGCTTAGGTGTACCTAGAGCTTTTTCTGTGTTCGCTTGATACTACGGCATTTACATGGATTCGCGAAACAAGTCCTGTTACGGTCTGAGTCACTTGTGTGGCAACTAGTCAACGATGACAGTGGTCGATTATCGATAGACCCCGCTCTCGACAAAGAGACTTCTTAGAGTTTGGGTTCAAATGTTCTCGTGCCGGATATTGTGGAACGTATGGATACAATCAACAGGTGAGAAACAACTTACCATATTTATGGGCTTTCTTGGTCATGTAGGACGCAAAAAAAAGTTTAGTACCTTTGCCACACAGAAAAGTTAATATATTTTCATTAAATTACGCGGGATTTAATCAGCTCGCAGTCTTGAGTGATTATACGAGCATTGCAAGCTGGTTTGTCGACCCCATATATTCATTGGATTGAGATTACATTAATTTTGCCATGTGGCCGGGGTATAATGCAAGGATTCAGTGGCTGCATCATAAGCGACATTTGTCTAGCGTGTCCACGTTGACTATGTCTATTTCATTTTTAACTTTGATCTGTATTGCTGTGTCTAATCACTGCATGTCTCGCCATTTTATCGAAGTATTTCTGTATAAAATATGCATTCCTGCAGCAATAATTGCGTGAGTCATTGTTTTCGACTTAAAACAATCACATTTTTCTATAGACGTCTGGTATGTATACCTCGTACCATTTTGTACTGATCATTTGTTGATGTAATGTCTTGCCTGTATAATGAAGTGATTTATAGACCCGTTGCTATGTGCAGCTTTCCTTTTAGCTAATAAGGCACGCATATGTGACTAAAAGTGCATTGCGACAGTCGATCCACGCGCGTTGCATTCGCTTCGAAGCGCGCCCCCGATGGCCTTCCTTTGCGACGTCACAAGAAGAGCGCTATGGCCTTATTTCTAGGAGGTATTGGGTCGATGCCATCAACGCGGCCGCCTGGAAAGAAAAAAAAAAAAGCCAGCAGACGCTCTGAAAGTGTGCTTTCCCCTAATGCGGCCGCTCGCATTGGGGTAAAGCCAGCTTGCAGAGCAAAACGGCGCTCTTGGCAGTTCGATATATCGGTAGCGGCTACTATTTTTGTTCGATGTAACCATAGATTTTGCTATATATTATCACTGTAACATTACTGTGCACAAAAATTGTTTGATATAAGAGATAATTTGATGTAAACGGGTTCGGTATAGTCGGGTTTGACTGTATTACCGACTTCTTAAAACTACCTGCTCTGGTACAGACAGAGAAGAGCTGCTTTATGACAAAAATAATCCCTGGAGAAGGGGAACAAGAGGAACAAAGGACAAACACAAATCTCCAAACACAGCTAGGTGACTGGTGCGCGACCAGAAAAATCGGCCTGGTCCAGAAATCGAACCCGCTACCTCTCCATTACAGGTGGAAAGGTCCTGGTCCTTTGTCCCTCTTGTTCCCCTTCTCAAGGGATTATTTTCGTCCTTCTTGTCCAGCTCGCTTGCACCTTTGCATTTAATTGCATTATAATCAGCTGCTTTATATTTGCTTTATTTGGCTTTGTGGACCACTGCCACCATCTGTAGGCTATTCAGCTTGTCAGACTGTTCATGGGTAACATGCACCATATTTGGCACCATATCTGCCCATACCACACTAAGCGCCCATTCTCAAATTTGTAAGATCTGAGAAAATATGCACAGTACATTGATATGTAAAATTGATGACCGGACAAGCGCTCATCCTCCATTTTTTCGCGATTATCTCTTAATCTAGAGTGGGCGCTTGCCCGGTATTTGACGGCAAGTTTATTTCTGGAAACATCGATCAATAGACAGAATGCATCACAATCGTGCACCTCTGCAGTACATTGTCGCCGATATGTCAAATAGCCACTTTCACGGTATACCTTCAAGCTCCCATGTGGCATCTGGACCTCCATGTGTATTTGCAGCCTGTGCACTGGACATGCGCAACAGCTTCCTTTCCTGCCTATCGCATGGCACCTGATGAAAAGAATGAGTAAATTATGAGTGACAAACACTATCTCAATATGGTGGGCAAGTTTGTCTGCCAAACCTTGCGTTTACTAAAAAATGACGTGCCCCTCGTCTCATTTATAATTTTCCGAGAGCTCGTGGTGACACCTGAAAGCACGGAGCACACTTTCGGTACACTTGCAAGACATATAACCACTGTGACGTGTGAAACAAAAACTATGAACAAATATAATCAAACACTTTTCGGTAAGTGTATACAACACATACAAAATGTTAAATGACAATGGTAAACACGAAGCACCTGAAGTAGTACTGAGAGGATGCGAGGAAAGTAACTTATGTTTTCTGACGACAGGCGAGCTCAAACTCCAACGAAAGGTGACGCCAGTAGTCGGAACAACATGCTGTAAGAGTCACAAGTACATGGAGACAAATATAGTCCAATGCCAGAAACTGGCTTATTTTCTCACTGACAATTCCTTAAAGTAGCTTTGAACTTATGAAGAGGATAATACTAAGCTCTAAAACACTCACATTTAGGCACAACCACTAGCGTTACCTTCTGACAAAGTATGAGCTCACTCTAATGTGTAGTAGTTTATTTTTGGAGTAAGAAAACATGTCCTCTTTTTCTCTCAAACACCTTACACATTTTCAGTGTATAAGCATAAAAAAGGCTCCACTTTTCTTGTCTTCATGACATCCTTGTGACATTTCTGATGGTGTTAAGCATGGCCTGCATGGAGCAAATAATCTTTTTTGTAAAGCCACCAAATGTTGATAGGATGGAAGCTTAGGCGAGTTGGTGACGCATTATACAAACTTAGAGCACAAAAAGAAGGAAACACATATTGAGACACAAGCAAGCAAGGACAGTGCTGTCCTTGTTTATTTGCGTCTTACTCGGTGTGTTTGTGTTTCTTTGCACTGTAAGTTTTTATAAAGCCACCAAACTTTGTATAATGAAGGAGATCTCAGGGATCCAAATAATCAGATGGATTATCAGTTCCTTGTCTCTGGCATCTATCATGAACATATACCAGTTCATCTGACTTATGACTTTTGGCTAAATTTCATTAGGAGATATATGAGGCAAACATTTTTATAAAAGTATTTCAGATAACGCTGCAGACAGCATGAACAGCTCAAGACAAAATGAGCCATACCGACTACTACTACCTAAAAAATGTTGGATATGAGAGGTCACATGCAAAATTTGCTTAGAATTTTGTTGAGCACAGGCATCGAATTCACATGCCATGTGTGCTGGTTTCATTTGCAGTAAATTTTCAGAACGCTGCTTCTACACCAAGGAATCATTTTCTCTGGTAAACCAGAGAAAGGAAACAATACGTGCTGACATAGCTTTTACTTGATTGGCTGAGAAAGTGGTCATACTGGCTTGCACTACTTTAAGAAAATGCTGAACCAAAATTTGAATTTCAGAAAATAAGGCAGCGGAAGCGCTCAACGAGATGCTACGAACCGCAAAACGCCACTTGTATTGCGACATTCCCCAACATTGTTAGAAAAGAAATGCGTGACTGAGCAAAGAATGTCACGTAGCCTTCTCTCAGAGCAGTTGAGAGTGAGAGAAAACGGCCTGGCTTTTCTCCTCCTTGAGGGGACGAAGCGAAGAGAGCGAACGAGAATCGCGACGTGGCACGTCTTGTCGGCCTCGTCGGCTTCGTTCAGTCGCGTCCTCCTTTTCCAAAAATATGGCCATCTGTTCGAAATATCGCTGCATGAGTGACGTTATGGGGTCTGTAGCGTCTTGCCTTTCGCTCCGGCCTTCTTTTGTAAAATCAAAATTTTTGTTCCACATCCCTTTAAAGATAAACCACCACTGCCCAACATTTGCTTTCCGATTGTGAATAATTTAGCATGCTGTTTTGATTGTTAGTTTTAATAATGTATTACAAAACATTGTTCTTTAAGCTAGATTTTAACCCACACCTTGTTGGTGCTGAACAATTTACACATTGTTCATTTGAATCAGCGACGTAGAAGGAGTCAACAAACAACTGAAATTCTGTTCCTTAGCCGGAAATGACACTCTTTCCCCCAACGCACACACACACTACAAACCGCCACCATGTAGTACACTCTGTTGTCTACTCATAATGTGACTTTACTACCTATGTGATGACAACAACAAAAAGATGGCAACACTCTGTGCTTCCGCATTTGGTAGAGGTGGCTAGACTCATATTGCCGAGGAGTTGCAAGCAAAATTATCAGAGAGCCGTTCAATTGGAATGATTACAACACTGACACATATGGCAGGACTATTGTCGCTCTCCACATGTATCTGAATTATATTGTAGATACACGCTGCACCATAGCTTCATAAAAGCTATGACACAGCTTACCTTAATAAAAGCAGCATGGTTTTACAGTGCTCTAGTTTCACTAAACTAATTGGTGCCTGCGAACTGCTTTCATCAGAAAAGAAAAATAGACGAGACCAAGGTAAGCCACTATATATAATTCACAGGTCTTTCAACTGCATGTGTAGCTCAGCATTTCCTTTAGTACCTCGATCTTTGACAGAATATTTCGGGCTAAATTGAGCATAAATACCACGCTGTCTCCACTTGCCATATGGAAAGGCAGCAAATAAGCTATCGAAATTTAAGATCCAGGTCACGTATCTCTGATTTGCGAACCTTTCTGATCGTGGATTTTATTTTTTTTTTTCACAATGAAGACCCAAACCACGGCTTTAATTACAATAACTTTACGTCCTTTTGCTTGTTGCTCAAGGGCATTCTTGCATAAACAAGCTCAGTTTTTGGTCATAATGATATTGTTATCATAAGGGCCGCACTTTAGCACAAGAAAGAGCCACATGTGGCTCACGAGCCACAGCTTGGCCGTCGCTGAGCTAGAGCCACGGAATGTTCTCAATGGCGCCCACTTACTGCAAGTATTGAGCATAGCTTGAACTATGCTGAGGCGTTCTGACTGACGGGTATCGGTGGCGACATAACGGAAGTCGTCAGTATTGACGTAAAACAAATAGACCAGAAAAACAAAAATGTATGTAAAACTTATCGCTTGACCTAGAGGGGCCTACTTCTGGATTTGGGTGATTCCCAAGGCGAGAGAGACTAAAGGCGTGCAATGACCTAGAACAAAGAAAAATAACTTTAATGAGGACTTAGAGGTGAAGTTGCAGGTGAGCAGTGCAATCTTTTTTAATTGATGAAGAGAAAAAAAAAAGCTTGATGAAAAGAATGTGCCCAAACACCGTCGTGGCATAGCCAGTCATGGCAAAGGGCCGTCATGCTCACGATTATGGTTGAGGCCTGACTGGAGTGCCACGACGTCATTTTGAAACAAATTTTGGTAGTTTTGCTGCTCTGGAAACATTCAGTGGCTCTACCCTGGACCACTCCGACACACTATGGGTGCTGCCATCGCTTGGCCAGTTTCATGCATTTGGTGAATCGATGTACGAGGAGTTAAGAAAAAAATATGCATGGCTGTTGGCAGGGGGGGGGGGGGGGGGGGGGATCACCTTCAGCTGCTGGTTTATTGCTCTAAGCCCCTTTACATTGTTGGTTTGAACGCATACCGCACTTAAACTAACAAGTCTTCCAGTAGCGCAACAAGAACTAGCCCAGTGCCCATTCTCACGGCAGCTGCCTTCCTTTTGGGGAGGGGGTATTTTGTAATACACTATATAGCACAGCACATATTGGTGCTGCTAGGAACACATAGGCAGAGAAGCATTCTAATTCTTTTACTAATAGTGGTTATAAAATTAAAGGTAATCCAGTGATGTGTTTGGCTTAAGCCATTCTGGCACACGTTCTGGAGCAACCAAAACAGTGTTTCGGAGCAGCAAAAGTGGATTTTGGAGCAGATATTTTTAGGAAAATAAAAATATTTGTTTTAAGTGCTGTACAAACGAAGGGCACTTTGTGCTGTATTGTGTTCTGATGTGACGTGTTGTGATGGAACTCGCTGCTTCTGTTTTTACCGCTCAAACATCCCACAAGTGTACAGTGCTGTAGGCATTGCCAAGCAATTTCGAAAAACCGCTTGCCACCGTTTTACTGGTTCCCGACGTGCCAGCTTTTCGTCAAAAGTAAGCAAACGTAAAACAATGAATTGCAAGCGTCCCAGCTGGTGCCTCAGTCACGCAGTCATGTTCGCATGCTTGTGAGGCAAACTTCGGCAGGCTTGCTCTTGGGCATGCTTCGTCGCGCGAGCGCAGACAACGGCTGTCCGATCGGAACCGAAACCATGCCCCTCAATTCCGTCACTAACTTATCCCCAAAATTGTACAACTTTCGAGCATGCGACAAAAACAGTCTAGTGGCGCGTGCTTGCCAGGCCGGCAAACAAGGTACAAGCTAAACACAAAAAATAAAGAACCTGAGTGCATCGATGCAAGACATTGCGAACCAGCCTCAAAATGTTCTTGGAGCGCTCTGCTCCAAGAACACAAGCGCGCTATGCGGGTTCAGCGTGCAGACATTGCCTTCTTTGCTTTAGCTCACTACCCTTCACCAACTTTCTTTCACGGCAGATTTTTCACGTACCGAGGTCTCTCTCGAAAGAAGGCCCACCGAGAGGAATCTAGATAATCATTACTTTGACAGAGCAGTCTTTGAATTAAAGATGGATTTTTGTAGTAACGTATATTTTAAACAAGAACAGGAATGTTGATGAACATGTGGCGGTCCTTATGTAACAGTTTAGAAAGTACCATATTTGCGATGATGTGGGGACGGCAACATTTGACGTCGCGCAACTACGGTGACTGAAAGGCAGTGACCAAATATAGTTTTCCCACCGGCCGTTGCTTCAGCTAACAAAATAACTCTTGCCCTGCAAAAACATGGTTTCGTTTCACAGCACGACGGCATGGCTGGTACCCGGCACGCTATCGTCAAAGTGTCTGCACACATCCGCGTCTATGGCTGAAAATATAAAAAAAAAGACTAGAGACGAGACCCACAAGACGAGAGCGCGAAACGCGATACGCCGGAGAAACCATGGAAGACCGATGGACAATTGATGCATGGTACTTTGTGTCAGGCGGCCGCTTGTACATCATAACACACGCCTGCTCAGTTACAGTACTCAGTTTAGTTTCGGTTTTGAAAGGCGACCTAAACTGGTCCTTTGGTGCAGGCTTGGTGCAGACTACCCATATTTTGGCGAAATGTAGCAAGATGTAGCAGGGTTAGCCCCTTGGCGCAGTTTGGCGCAATTGGCGCAGCAATCACATCACTGGTAATCTATATAGCCAAACAATGTACCTTGCTTCTGCGCTTGCGCCCTGAGCTCGCTCAAGCGAGTGCCAAGGCTCTTAATCAGCTTCACTGGGTCTGCACCCATGCTTGGTGAGCTGTTCTTCATTGTGAACTCTGAAACAACCAGGATTATATATTATGTCCACCTCTGTTCACATTTTCTTATGCATGGCAAGAACATTCTATGCAGTGGTATACATTTGCACAGAAGCCTTTATGGAAGAAGAAACAAAAGAAAATGTAACTTTAATTCCAAGAGCACCTCCTGGTAAGGACCAGTGAAAGCATGCGAGCACTTGACCTGTTGGCACCACCTAGGCAGCATTCCTAGGAAATTTTACTAGTTTTATAATTAAGCAGAACCTCGTAGAATTTCATTAGTAAAATTAAAAGGCTCACCTATCTGAAATTCAGCAAAGCAAATGCCTGCAAGGCAGTAAGTAGGGCGAGTTGGTTGAACATCTTCAAAAGTGAAAACAGCGCAAACATTTGACAAAGAACGAGTAAAAGAAGCGCACAGACAAAGCCCTGTTTAATCAAGACACAAAAATACAACCCAATAGACAAGACTTCTACTACGACATCTCTTTCAAACATGCCTGCGATTACCCTTAATAAAAAAGGACTTCGTCATCCCCCAAGTGCACCAACGGTGCGCTTACACATAATAATAATAATAATAATAATAATAATAATAATAATAATAATAATAATAATAAATCTTTATTTTGTTTCATCACTGAAAACGGGGGAACTAGACAAAAAGCTGCAGCAGCAGCTTGACGGAGGTGCTGGCCCCCTTTACAGCAGGCGATTCCTAAGCAATTTCAGAAACAAACAAAATAGCTGCATTGAGAGAAAGGACACTATTTTAAATGTACAGACCACAGATCAAACAAAAACAAGAGAAAAAATGAAATTAATACATTCATTGTGGTATACAATGGTACGGTGACCCGTATGCCTTAGCCGTACCTAAGAAAACAACCCTAAAATAATGCTCGTACCTCTGCAAGCGTCATTGCATGAATATCAACACTTTTCAAAAATAATTCATTTAATAAAGTAGTTAATTGGTAATTTAGCGTGTGGTTACAATATAATGTATGTGATGGTGAAACAAACCATTTTTCTTTAGGGCTGAGTTGATATGAGGAAGTGAAAAGGACTAGGTTACATAATTCCTCAAAACTTTATTTTTAAACTGCATAGACTTCTTGTAGACCACAAGTGGTCGGAACCTGTAAATATTTAAAATTGGTTTTTATTTTAAACAATGAGAACAAGTGTTCAGTATGATCATAGTACGAAACATTGGCAATAGCACGCACAGCTTTCTTTTGTAAAATATGTAGTTTATTTATATTTGTTTTTGTTGTATTTTCCCAAACTAGATGACAATTAAGTTGGCAATATACCAAAGCATTGTTAAGTTGGAGCTTAGCACAACGAGGTAACAATGATTTAAACTTGGTTAGCAACCCCACTGTTTTTGACAGTTTAGACGAAAGATAATCAACATGCTTATTTTAAGACATACTATTTGTAAACCAAACGCCCAAAGTCTTAATAGTGTCGCCAAATTCAATTTCTTCATTGATCAAAATCAGTGGGTTTAGGATCATAACTGTAGCATTTCCCTTCCCCTTTTGATAAAATGAAAAAGGCCTCTTCAATCACTATGGTGCTTTTAGTTTTATTACGCGCCAGAATCGTCAAGTCATTGAGTAAAGGCACGCAGCCGCACCTACTGCAATGTACCGCCAAGTGGCCAGTCGGGGAGGAACAAAGAGAAAGGGAATGCTCCCTTGCCCTCATGTTCACGCACCTCCCTGTTTGTCCACTGTACACCCTACCACATGTGAAGGGGATCTGATACACACCCCGTAGTTCGCATGGGACAAAAAGAGTGCGGTGATTAACTTCACGATGGAAATCGCTGACACTCCCTCGGTTAACAACGGAGCACAGTCATGACAACTTCTAGGGTGCTGAAAACACCACTGGCACGTTATACTTGTGAGCCACTCGCTTTGGTGCACTTCTTTTCCTCGTCCTTCGTCAAATTTTTGCGCTGTTTTCACTTTCAAATGTCAACATAATTACACAATTTAATAAATAAAAAGTTATAATCTGGCTACTCCCAATGGCCTACATGCCAAAGTGTGCCAGTTCAATTACTCTAAAATGGCACCAGCTATGAATAGTATTAAAACCACTTAAGAATATCAACCTATAATGGCGTCGACTCCTCTCTGGTCGAGAGCCGGACGGGTGAAATCTTGATTTCTGAAGAGCCCATGTGTACCGTGTCCCCTCATGGAGCAGGTAAGGAGCGCCTCTTTCGTAAAAATGGTGGTCAACAGCGCCCGTGCCATACTGGTGGCAGTCTTGGATCGTTTCACTGCTGCGAGACTCAATTTGGGGAGAAAAATTTCAGATCCCGCCGCAAGTTCCACAACCTGTAATAATACGAAGTAGTGTCAAACCCTTCATTTTTACGGCCCCAATTTTTTCGCGAATCAGGCACAAGAGACATATTCACGGCCACTAAATTTTATGAATCTTAGAGGACGGAATGCGAGCCTTTACAGACCGGAATTTTTGTGTGCTCTTAAAGGGCAGCTCCGCCAAAGTTTCTGAAATTGCCGATTTCTATTAAGTTGCACCATCTATTATCCAATGAGCATGTGTATAAAATAACTCACCAAAAGATGCACTTTTTAGAGAGAAAATTATTTTTGAAACTGATACACTCATGTCCCCACCACTGCTCTACAGGCAACACTGAACTCAAGGTGGCCGCTATCTTGTATGGCTGGGGTTGCGACGTCGCGTACTGTACGCCAGGAGCTCCCAGCATAGCATTCTGCCAGTCTTTTTTGCGGTGGCGACACTGGACGTCATAAGCGAGCAGCAAGACTTCTAAAGTTTCATCCTCGAGACCGCGAACAAATCTAAATCGCCTCTATACTCTCCTAAACCAGTGTAATCTCACTCAATGCGATAGCACCTGGAGCACCACTTCTGCCTGCATTCTAGCTACCCTGAACACAATATGAGACGTCATGGCCCCAGCTATTTAAAACGGTGGCCGCCTCGAGTTGCAGAATGGTTTCAATTTTGATGTAAACTTCAATTTTAATTAAAAACTCAACAAATACTTTTTAGTGAAATTAACGTGTGTTTTGGCAGAGTTCATTCCTGCCGTTCAAACACATGTACTGTTGGAAATAACCAAACTAGGAGCTGCCCTTTAAAGAGAAGCTAAAGAGGTTTTAGAAAATAATGATTTAGAGGTAAACTCTAGCACATTTGTATCCTGTGAATTCAAATATGAACACCTTTTCCTCCGAAAACATCAATGAATGCGAAGAACTATGATAAACATTTGCTGGGTGCGGGACGTCACGTCAAGAGCTTTCAGCTGGAAAGCGAAGCTCGAGCGCCATCTCTCGATTGCTAGTAGCAAGTAGTGGCAAGCGCTTGCGAACGCAACGAATATAAAAAACATCACATTTTGTTTACTTACTGGATGCTTGCTTACATGGAAACTGTGAACATTATATACATGTGTTATTAAAACATTTCCATTAGTTTCTAAACCTTATGCAAGTTCAGAAATCTTGTTTGGAAGTAAAAGCGACTTCAGCGGCACCGACCGAGCAGACGACAAGGCAAGCCGCGAACAGTGCGGCGATCCGGCGCTCCACACATGCACAGCGTCATCCAGTGTAGCCCATTCTTTTCTCGCCAAACAGCACATCGTTTGTTAGAGATGCCTAGTTCCTGCCGCAACCTTTCATGAATGTCCAAACTTCGCTAAAACTTTTACGAGCAGTGGTAGCTGTACTAACCTTGCATCCATCACACCCAGCAGGGGAGCTAACATTCGCAGCAAATGGCGAACAACAAATACTTTGTTGACCAATCAGGTAAGCTTGCGGAGATTCCAAGGATCCCTTGTCGTGACGCTGCTCCCCCACAAAAATTTCACCCTCATGCTGTTATGCCGCGTGAGGGCAGGGCTTCAGCACTACTTTCAAAATGGTTTTAAACTACTCCGGGCATCCGATCTAAAAACAAATTTAGTATTCGTGATCCTTCAAACTACATAAGGACGACTCAAATGTTTTTTTGAAGATACAGAACCGTTTTAGGTTGGCCTTTAAACTTAGTGAATTTTCTCATTCGTAAGGGTCGCAAAAATGAGTGGCTTGCAAACATTAGAAGCTCTACAGTATCACTCATGTCTGCGACATTATGACATAGTACCTCCCTTTTGTTAGGCGCTTTACGTTAAGGCTCTCGAGTGCACTCCATCACTCAAAGTTCACGCTCCATCTAAATGAAATGACCACATCTCACTTCCAGCGCACACTGACAGAGCGCACTCCGCTCACTTTATTGTCGTAAATGGAGCTGAAGCCGCCCAGCTTCCGGTAAGACGACATGTTTCAGCTTTTACGCTGCTGCGTCAGGCATCCCACAGTCTTCTGACCACAACTAGCAGCAAATATTTTATTTAAGTTTTGATTAAATTTTTCAATTGCTGCACCAACAGCGTGCAGCACGAAAGTAAACTACAAATTTATTTAACTGATATAGCTATCATCAATCAGAACAACCTTTAGGTGGTGCTTCTGTGCAACCAAGGTTTCTGAGAAAAGAGGTTGATAAGTTATGTTCCAAAGCTGCATGCCCAGGCACAGGGGGTGGCCTGCAGTAGTAAAGTTCGCTAACTGCAACCATTGCTGTCGCAGAGTTCTTCATGGTGACAGCTATGTCGCCATGCCCTCAAGTTGGCCCACTCATACACAAACAATTCCTCTGGTGCGGACAAGGCAATAAAGACAAAATGTTTATAATTTGGCTAGTTGGTTTGTGACTGGAAATGAGCACCAAAGGGACGGGGACAATTGAAAAAGATGACGACTCTAATGAACTGAAAGTTTATTAGAAAACACAGAGACTTAAATACCTAAATGAAACCATGTCACTTCCAGCGTCCACTTTCTTTTTCTAAATATAAAAGTTCATTATCTAACAAAGCCACAGAAGGCTCGCTGATGCACTTATCAGCCTCTCTTGTCTTGATGATGAACGCTTCGTGAATTTCTCTGCTTGTTTTTTTCACAGTGTCATCCCAAAATGGTTGTGTTTGACAACAACGGGCTGCACGGGCATCGATCACAATGCACAGCCAAATGCCCTGACGCCGTCTGTTTGATAATTGCCGCGTGCTCTCTCGCACAATCATTTATGCAGCGGAGCTCTTACGTAGGGCAAACAGGCCGCTGCATAAAGGATCATGCAAGAGAGCACGCGAAAACTATCAAACAGATGCCGTCAGGGCATTTGGCTGTGCATTGTGATTGACGCCCGTGCACCCCATTGTTGTCAAACACAACCATCTTGGGACGATACAGCGAAAAAACAAGCAGAGAAATCCACAAAGCGTTCATCATCAAAACGAGAGGGACTGATAAGTGCATCAGCGAGCCTTCTGTGGCTTTGTTAGATAAAGAAATTCTATAATTAGAAGAGTGAGGACGCTGGAAGTGACATGGTTTTATTTAGGAATTCAGTATGTGTGTTTTCTAATAAACTTTCAGTTGTGAGTGCGCCCCGTGTTGTAGTCTTCAACCGTCCCCGTCCCTTTGGCGCTCATTTTAAGCAATAGAGAAGTCTCTGCACATGCAATGAGCAAGGGGCACACAATAACAGATGTCCTGGACCCTATACAGGTTCCCAAGTAGGGCCTCTGGGAGCCACAATCTTGCTGCTGGTGTGTGTAGGCCGTTGAAGCCTTGCTAACGCGTGCCCCTGGTGTAGATTAGGGACTAGTTTGTGAAACGTGAGCGCTAATATCTTGAAGGTTCCTATATACATACCATTTTGTCACGTTTCTTGTGTCGAAACTGGCACTTTGGAGGCTGCTTTTTTGGGGGGTAATGCTGTGGGGAGTGTTCTCCTCGGAGATGTTCTAGTGGGGAGGGTTCTCGTGAGCTACAGTCTTGTGGAGGCTCTTGTTTCACGTCTTCTAGCTCCTCTGGCTCCCGTGGCATGCCTTGTGGCTCCTGTTCCAGTGGCTCGTCATGTGGTCCGTCTGGTTGTGGCTCGTCTAGCAGGTCCAGACCCTCGTTGATGCTGACCGCTTGGCTGCTAAAGATGTTGGGCAAGACCAAGAAACTTACTTGCACGCAGTCTTGGGCAGAAACTATTTACTAGTAATGCGTTACTGGTAACTAGTTACTTTTTCCGGTAACTTTTGCCTGTAACACGTTACTCTTTAATACTGGTAACTTTTAACTGTAGCACTGTTACTTTTTATTGGGTAACTGTAACTGTTTAGGCCGTTACAGTTACTTTTTTTACCATATAAATTAGAACCCACTGCCGCGGACATGAAAAAATTTCCATCTTGAAGTATTTTTCTTCAAGCTCCTCGATGACAAAAAAAAATAATAAAGAGAAGCGTGGTCACACATTAAACAAACAAAACATTGCCTGGTTTAGCCCACGACCGAGAATGGACGAAGGACGAGTCAGCACGAAACTGAGAGATAAAGGAAGCGGCACCTGCGGTGGTAGGGGCGGCAAACAATGTCTGTTTCACCGACTTTGGCTCACTCTTCTTTCGTGGGGACCATCTGCGGGTGTCGGTGGTCGTGTGATATGTCTCCGAGTATTCCGTCTGGGCTGTGTCCGTGCTGTCGTTTTTACACCCAGCCGTACGCCGTTTCCTCCTCCCTATTAGTTTCCAAGGAAGCCGTCCCCATATTGTGCAGAAAGCCGGCGCTTGTTTAACTTATTTGCTCTCTTCAATGCTGCTTGATTGAACACGACTTCTACAGTTGGCGTTTCGGACATAGACGCCGGGGTGGTCACTGTACACTCGTAAAGCACCAGAAGTTAATTGTCTCCTTTCCCCCTTTATTCTTTCGAAGCTGTATTACCTGCTATGTTTAGGCCTGCTTCCACGTATATTCCATAAGGTAATTATGTGACTATCTCTGTCCTCATTCGTTCGGAGTGAAATATAAACCAAAACGTTCACTGATGCGTGCCGATGACAATTTTGAAAAAACGGTTGATTCTAGGTTATAACAATTATTGCAAATAAATTATGCACATCTAAATGCTGAAATGGCAAATGATGCAAAAAAAAAAAAAAAGAAACACCCTTTGGGTTTAAATTTTTCTAATATTTCAGTTTACCTTTCTTTCACTATAGTGTAACAACTAAAATATTATTGTTTTGGCTTGGGATTTCTTGTGTCCAATTTTCGTTGTGTAACGAGAAAGTAACGACGTTACTGTTTTTGCAGTAACTGTAACTGTAACACGTTACTTCTTGAAACCAGTAACTGTAACTGTAACAGTTACTTTTTACCCATAGGTAACTGTAACTGTAACACTTACTTTTTACTGGTAACGTGCCCATGACTGCTTGCACGTGAGCGGTTTTCACACAAAAGCGTACTGTGAAAGCTCCGACAGGTTACATTAGGGTGCAAGGAACACAGATAATAAGCGATTCTACTCCATCCCACAGAGTGCCGAGACAATATTTGGTGCAGACCAGGCACATAAGCCTCTTCATGGTCCACATGTGTGACTGCGTGTGCAAGAGGAATGCCAGGTGGGCGAAATGGAGCCGGGCCTCGCACTGGCACTCCTGGTACTTTTGCGTGTAAATAAATAATGTTCAAGCACATACCAAACACTACCTGGAAGTGCTTTCCTGCGCAACGGGGCATAGCCCAAAAGTATTCCTTATGCTGTGGGCCTCCAGAATGAGACGTCACAGACTGATGAACAAGCAGAAAAAAAGGAACTGCTTGTCGATTTCGCCTTTCCATCCCAGAAAGGAGAAAAGTCGTTCTCCTCTCCGAGTGCATGAGCTCTCACATCTGCTTCCAAGGCAGGGACCACACCAAGAAATTACCTTTCTGTACCAGTGCCTGGCTCATCCAGCATCACGGCGTCATTTCCATCAAAACTGATGTCCTCTGCCTGGGCAATGCAGAGGGTCTGGAAAGGTGTGGCTGCCTTCAGTATCCTTTCAGCACGCTCCAGGTAATCGTCTGCATCTGTCACAAAAGAAAAACAAGTGTTTTGAACAAGCATAGTGAAAGTCAATACACATCATGTTTACTTAAAGCGCGGAGCACCTTCTGCCGGGGAGAAGACTTTTTCCGAATGTCCTTCGCTCCATTCCTCCTCACGCTCTTCCCCCTCTCTCGAGGGGCAGGTCTGGAAGGTAACCTCCGCCGAGAGAAGGGCTCTCCTTCTCTTTTGGGTGGAAAGAAGAAATCAAAACAAACCCTCCTCCCTGCTTGTTGGTTGGCTTTTAAAACTGCTTTTCATTGAAAAGTACCTTTCGCTATGAGAAGTACCCGTCATACTTGGGTAAATTACTTCGTAAAAGTATTTAAAATACAATTACTTCGCCCCAAAAGTAAATAATTACTATTAAAATTGCTACTGTGCAAAAAGTAATTCTTTACATTTGCAGATAACTTTTAGAAAGTAATGCAATTACTTCACAACTAGTTTTCTTTGAGCTACAGGACTTCAATTGATAGCATTTTTTGCACTAAAATTCTCCACCCTTCCCAATCTATGACCTTTGTCATGGGCAAGGCCCCACCTCCCCCGACACAAAATCCTGGCTATGTGCCTTGTCCGGTATAAAACGTTTTACATGCGTTCTGGGCCTATGTTTAATCGGATTTAGTCGTGTTATACTCAATGTGTTCAGTTCAAGAAAGTGACTCGGTAAAAATGAAACCAAGAACTTTCACGGATTTAGCTGCCTCTAAATGGGATCAGTTCACAATAATATTCAAAGGCAATGAAATTCTACAATTCTATGGCCTAAGAGCATACATTTAGTTTTGTCTGTATTTATTTTTGGGCCACTAACTTGTGTCCACGAATGCAGGTTTGCGAGAACAAATTTCGCCTCGCTTTAAATCTCAGAATTTTGGCCTTTAATAAATAAAACACCATTGTCTGCATAAAGGCTACACTTAAAGGTGCACTGAAGAAGTTTCTGAGATTGTTTTTTCTTGGTGATAACTCATTCTACGGGCTCTAATACCCGTGCCACACAGGCAACTCGAATGCCATTTACAGCAAATGACATTCGTGTGATCGACGAATCGGCTCGCGATCTGTCGCGCATGGAACGCCCCACGCTCAAAGTGTCGCGCGCTGAATGGCCGATCGTTCAAATGTCATTCAATGTAAATGGCATTCAAGTTGCCCGTGTGGCACGGGTATTAGCGTCCTAAAAATTAAAAAATTATGGTCACAAGACGCTTCTTTCTAGTGATGGGCCAAAATTTTGCTGAATCGAAAGTTCGGTGCCGAATCTTGGGATTCGGCAAAGCCAAACTTTTGCCGAACTTTTTTAAAGATTCGGCAAAGATTCGGCAAAAATACATTGTTACCAGACTTGTTGATATTTCGTTTTTTCTGGCGAAAAAAAGGTTTTATGTGCAACATGTTTACTAAATAAGGTGATATTCTGCAAGATAATTGTATCGGTGTCGTTTTCGTGTGTTTACTGGGAATTTTAGTGACTCCTTGCAGGGGCGGCGTGACAACGAGGTTGGGTAGAAGCGAGCGTGGCGCAGTCATGAATCACGCTACAAGAGTTTCGGTTTTGAGGCATCATCAGCGCAAGCCTCCATGTGTGTGTACACTGCTAAAATGAAGGCAATAACGCTGCGTTCTTGCTTTCTCTGGGAGTCACCGTTTTGTGCGCGAAAACGAATGCAACGGCTGATGAGCCTTCACTAGAAGAGAGATAAATAATATTGTAAATATGCATGGTCCCCGATTTGAGTCACTTGACGTCAGCTTTGCATGAAAGTGTGCGTCCCATATTCGCAATGTCTCGTTTTTAACCTTTAATATGCCTGTTTCTGGTGTTAGGACACACAAATGTTTCGGAAGATAGGGAGAGTGAATGTCGGATGTGCAACGTCGAGCATTATAGTTCTGTGTTTAGTTTTACGCAGATATATGAAAATCGCGAAATAACACAAATTGAAAAAGCAATATTATTCTGTTTTCGCATAAACAATACTTGTGAACCAAAAACAGAATCGTTATAATTGCGAGGAGTGCTTTAAAGTAATTGTCGGCCAATGTCTCAATGTTTCAGGATGCACCGTATCATTTGCCACTTGCGCAGTGGACTGCGTAAATTACTGCTCGATCTTCTATTCTTGAGGCAGAAAATATTAAAGAGAACCACACTCGCTCACAAACGCACAGTTACCGTGTTCCCTACCCCACACCGCGCCGTAACCGCTGGTTGTACTACACTGCACGCTGGTAACCGCACGACTGCACGGCGTCCATTTGCAATCCAAGGCTCCCACTGATCAGTGAAGGCTCCGTTGGCTCCGTCACGTTAGGGTTGCCTAGAGAGAGTGTAGTCGCGTTCTCGCGCGTGCGCAGACATTTGCCGAAATTTTGCCGAATCTTTGCCGAACTTTCCTGCAAAACTTCGGCCTTTGCCGAACTTTGCCGAATCTGAAGTTCGCCAGATTCGGTCCATCACTACTTTTTTCCCTGCCAAAAAATGTGATCTATGATAGGGACACGCCCCTTCCCGAGCGGAACTTCCTGCTCAGGAAAGGCGGGGCATAATTCGGCCGATTTGGCGGCGGCGTGATGACACTGCTCGTCAGCCAACTGTGAGCCACCGTTCCAATAGCGAATAACTGCGGCATCATCTGCCGTGGGAGCGGCAGCTTACGGTTGGCTGAAGAGCAGTGTCGTGATGCCGCTGCCGCCTCGGCCGGATTATGCCCCGCCTTTCCTGAGCGAGAAGCTCTGCTAGAGAAGGGACATGTCCCAATCGTAGAACACATTTTTTAGCAGAGAAAGAAGCGTCGCATGAGCGTAATTTTTTATTTTTAGGATGCTTAGAGCTTGAAAAATGAGTTATCACCAATGACAGACAATCTCAGAAACACCTTTAAGCATCCTATATCATTTATGAATATTACAAACAACATGGCCCAAACAGGCTCCCTTGGGGGATTCCTGTCACAATTCTGTTGATAATTCTATTATAAATATGATTCATAGTTTTAGTGCAGATCCAGATATACCCTAGTGTTTAAACTTTTCAATACAGTATTACTATTATACTTAGATAAATGAACATACAGACCTAGAGAAACCTCTTTCTTTTTCTTCCTATGACTAGAAGAATCAAACTCACCATTTCAATATTATATTATCCGGAGCATATTTTGATTTTCCCTTTGCCCTCCATTCTGATAATATGGTGTATCCGTATAACGTCAGATCCTGCCTAAAATTGAGCGATTAACTAATTGGCAAGTTTGCTTTCCCTTCCCTTAATTTCACAAAGATCAGGAGTGTGTGTGTGAAAACGTTGGTTTACTGGCCTAATTAAAATAGAAACATGAAGCAGCTGCACTGCTGGGGACCCCTTTCTGAGATCTTTTGCAGCAGGTTGCTCGACACCGTATGGTCGATTAGCTTGTCAGTCGATCCTAAAGAGGACGTCTTGCTTCCGTTCTTTATGTGGGCATGTTCTGAGTGCCCCTTATGTGCTTCGACAGTTGAGCTGCGCTTACATAATCAATGCCCAGGCAGTCTTTGCGCTTTTTATGCCCCGCAAGCTGATAGAAGAGAGAAAGAAAGGGTCGGAAAAGGAAATACACTGAGGTTATCCTAGGTTAATTGTCCTGGTTGGCTACTGTTTGCGGGGAGGGAATTGGACAAACAGGCAGATACCCAGTGCTGTTTGTCCTGTCGGCGACTCCATAGAGCCGAGTTAAAGTGGGACAAAATCATGAAAACAGTAGTTGTAATATTCATTCCAAATTTTGCGATTACTGATGCTGAAAGTAATTAGACTTCAATTACAATTACTTTTGTCACTGTAGTGAATTCAGTTACAAATTTTAAATGAAGTAATTAGATTACAGTAATTTCATGACTGTAATAAATTACTACCCAAGTATGGTACCCATGTTTCTATGCCTACCTTTATTGCCAGCAGAGGCCAATCACTCGAAGCAAAAGGAGCCCAGTGGATGAGTAGACAGATATACAGGGTGCGCCAAATAACTTGCACCAAACTTAAAAAAAAAAAAAAAAAAATGGAGTGCTCTGCGGAAGTGAAACCAACTATGTTGTCAGCAAGTGTCTTGCGAAAGTGCCTGGATTTTTTTAGTGCACCTAGTTATTTAATTAATTAAGACTAATTAGCTAACTTTTTAAATATTTGTTCAAGGGCTGAAGTGTGAATTGGAAAGTTGTAGAGCAACATTGAGAAACACCCATTTAAGGTGTTTACAGCTTGATATGCTTGGCATGCTTATTTTGTTCTGGCCTTCAAAGAATGTGACAGAGGGAGCGCATTGTCATGTAGTATTTTGTGGGCCTTTTTTGAAGGCTGAAATAAAGAAGCATATCATGTAGAAAGTACATTAAGTGTTTCTCAATGCACTCTACAAGTTTCCAGTTCACACCTCGATCCTTAAACAAATATTTCAAAAGTTAGCTAATTAGCCTTACTTAAATAATTCGGTGCAATAAAAAAAGCTTGTGCACTTTCGCAAGACCCTTGCGAACATCATACAGTTGGCATCGCTCCCGCAAAGCGCCCTTTTTTTCTTTTCTTTTTTTTTAAGTTTACACAATTTGCATTGAAAGGTGAGCATGATGTTCACAGGCTCAGATTCTCAGTGCAGATCCCATTTTGGGCTCTAACATTATAAGTACATTGTCACTCCCTGGGCTTCCTCATAAATTGCAATAATTGGTGTTCTGTGGAAGCTGCAGAAAAGGACACGTGGCAAACACTGTCAGTGCGAACAAGAAATCACTGGTTTTTGCTCTTTTTCTCTTAGATTTTAGAAGTTGTCATGGAAATTACTTCTATTGTGGCAAGTGCCCATTTAGGTCATCGGCCTAAGCAGTTGAATGTTACACTCGTCAACACCACATTTGAGCAAAATGCGAAAAAGCGCCGATGTCATGTTCACGCTAACTGTGTCCTGCTGTGTACAAACACATCCTTTAATTATGGCAGTGCTTTCCACTTACTTAATGCACAGCTGCATTAAATGATGACACTGTCACATTAGAATAATGTCAGAAAGATGAATACATTACACTGAATTTTAACTATCGTTCTCATTTAAGAAATTTCAGTGCACAACAAAGAAGGTTCTAAAGGGGCACTAAAGAGGTTTTTGAACGCGCTTCTTTTTGCTGTTACATAATATGGCAGGTGCCAGTCAGTATGTATTCAAAGTTTCAGACGACGAAACCGCTTATTGAGCCCGTGACGATAGAAATAGACGTGGACTATGCTTTCTCCTCGCGTTCCCTTCCGCGAGAGTAATGTGCCCGCTCGTCTGCTCCTTGGAGCGATCGCGTCGACACTTGTGGAGGATGTTTTCTTTCTCAATGCCGTGGGTCCTGTGTCCGAATTCTTATCGCACGTGGAATGCGATTACGTTTTGTAGTATTTCTATCTCTTAGGATGAGAGATTACGCAGCGTAAAAGAGAAAATTGGAGAAGCAGCGTGCACGCAATTCAATCCGCATGCGCGTTGACTTCAGTTCCCACTCGGATCAATCTGTCCTTCGTCGCTCGGTTTTGTTCAGATGCTTTCACTGCACCCTCCCGTGTTCTGCGATATATCGTAGAAAAGGGGAGTGTTGCACACTTTTGGACACATTTTTAATACAAATATACGCTGTGCGTGGCTGTGATTTCTGAATTTTTAGTATGCTTAGATCACATAGAATGATTTATGACCATGAATAGACAATCTCAGAAACCTCTTTAGTGCAACATGGAAAAAATGAGTATTATCACTATTAGTATATTATTATAAGGAAACAGCTGGCACTATGGAGCAGGCTCCTCAGAAATACTATGGCAGTCTTGCAAGCATCAAGGTCTACCAAAAGTTGAATAAAAATTCATGAACAATTCACATACTTCTCCGTTTCCTCAACTCCTTCCTCAGTCGTTTGTTTTCTTTCCTTAAAAGCAGAATTTCCGACTTAAGGGAATCAGTACTGCCTTCGTCCATTATCTCTTTCAAGAGACCTTGGGCCTGCATTACGTCGGGAGAGGGAGTCCTCTTTCGATTCGCCTGAAATGTAATAGAACACAGTTCAAGGCAGGGGTTGTGGACGGTGAAATATGCTCAGAAGCGATAAAATGAAATCAATCATTTTGCGTTCAAATATTGAAGTAACAACTGTGTTGTGCAAGTGGCAGATAGAGCAAAGATGACTTTAATTTCCTGGTATATAGAAATGACATGGCCTAGATTGACGACCTGCTATAAATCTCACGTTTGCAATTGTTAATGTGCCAGCTAAGATGAATATTTAAAAAGATAACTAAGAAATGTCAGGTCAGGGTCTGCCGTGGTCAAACAAAAAAATAAATTTGGAAGTTTACCTGCCCAACCAACAAAGTGCATCTGGCACCCCAAGTGGACAGCTAGGGATTAAATGAGACCACCTGGAAATTTTTTGCGTGCAACCCAAATCCGAGTTTCACGGTGCCTTTAAGCAATGGGCCTTCGTCATAGTGCGGGCACCTCGGCCATAATTCGAACCCGTCAACTAGAGACCCAACTGGAGGAGCCGTGGTCAGTAACGTAATGCCAAATGAATAATTCATTTACTTAAGCTGTCGTTTTTATATTCATAAATCAACCAATATATTCGGCAGCACAGCATTACACAACACTATCAGACGCTGTTGATTGCGTTTTTTTTCTTTTAAGAAACCAGCGGCCGCAACTTTGTCTTACCGTGGCCTTGTTTTTAGTTGCCATCAGGTTGTTCGCTTTTTGGGATACGTCATGTTCATTATCTGAAATTAAACAAAAATATAGTATTTGCAAAAGATCGTGCAAACTTAGCCACCAGAACAACTTACATGAAATGTTTACTACCACTGCTCGGTAAATCCCCATGCCGCGCCAATCTACATTTACTTTGTCTCCTGCTGTCACCAACGATCGCTTTCCGTGAATGTCTACTTTTTTACTACGTCTTATATGTGTTGTCATCGCTAAAAGGGGCTACAACACACAACATCGTGCAAGAAGTTCAGGAGCGAGCGCGTCAAACATTGAACATGGAAGTCAAAACTCAGGCAATTTTGTGCACATTTACAACTAAAGTTACCTCTTCCCCCTAAATGCTCAATGTGCCAAACTTCGCAAAACATGTTTCTGTGCAAGCTATGAGAAGAACGACAAGACAATGTTTAAGCAAATTAATTTATATATTTGTGGTCGAACTTAAAAGTAGTTAACCATGTTGAATAAACCTGAGACTGGGGCAGAAATGAACATGCAAGTCGAATAAACACAAAAGGACGACGTCTCAAACTCGGCTACCAGGTTTATTTAGTTCACCTCCCTATATAGCCCACAATCAGCCACCACCAACACAAAGGGGCAACCTCTAACCAGTCCAAACGCCAAACCCTCCAATACACAAACTAGCACTATGGCAGATGTATACAGGACATTTCTCAGAACCGATGTTTTTTGCAGAAACATTTTTTTTTAGGTAATGTAATGTCCCCCAAGCTGGTAATAAATCATTATAAGGCAACACTTGAGAGAACATAAGAAATCTTGAAGAGATAAATGGTACATGCCCTTTTGTCAATAGTCCTAGACTTGTAAGGAAACTGGAGTGGCTTCTTCTCAGGACCATTGAGCTTGTGCTCGGACCAAACTAATTAAATACTACTGCCTTTTTTTTTTTTTTTTTTACCGTTGCGATTGTAAAGTTTTCCGGATAAATCCAAATTGATGAAAATTTTACTGCAGAATGGGTTTTCGATTACTTAGGATTTATGTGAAAACACGGAACCCCACTTATAACTTTTTTTACGAATACCGTAATATCCTGAGGCCTCGGCCACCCCACTCCCACCTGAAATTCGTAAAAAAAAGTGGCGTGGGCCACGTCTTGGTGGATGAGCACAGAAAGTTTAAAAAATCAAAACAAAACACCCATTTTTTTTGGCATACCTAGCACGGCTGCAGAAGAGATACATTAAACTCAAAATTCAAATTAGTCTTGTTTTATACAAAAAATACTCATGAAAGGACGTTTTACTATCGCGAAATCCGTTGCTTGCATACGCGCCACGAACACCACCGATCGGCATACAGCACAAACGTTTGTTCTGTGAAAACACGTTACACCGCTATAATTTCCTTGTTAATTAAAAATAAAGTTTGCAAGAAAATATAAAACCAACCAGGTGCATTGAGCGAGCGAGCGAGCGCACCAAAGAAGCGACGAAGAGTGATGCTGGGAAAGCGGGCAATTGCGTTGGCAAATACTTTGGCATTGGGCCAAGTCGGGCAGCTTCTCACTCACAAGCTCTTGCGCAACTTTCTTGTTTGGTGCTTACATGCGTGCGTTTGTGCACGGCGTGCTATCAAGGCGGGTTAAGGCGGCGTTGCTGCATGGCGTGGACGGCACCATGAACACCGAGCTCGAAATGGGACACTCTACAAACGTTTGTGTGCGTCCTTCCAGCAAAGCTTTATTTACCCGTTGGCTTTGTCTTAAACATTGCAAAACCGCCGTCACCGTCACGTCGTGCCGGGAGAAGAAGCGGGTTCGCGGCGACCTTACTTCGGCGAAGACAGACTTTGATCTTACACTCTGCAGTTACATTCCAGGATATGGGGCGTTCGCTTAACTTGCGATTCCTGAATGGGTTACTGCTTGTGTTATCTTTCTGACTTTTTTTTTTTTTCTCGGGACAATCTTTTTGTAAGCAATACAAACTTTTATTCTGCTATCTCCTTCGTTTTCTTTTCGCACGGATACACTACGATTTCGAGGTCGCTTGCAGTGGAAATGCGTAAACAAAGTGAAGTGTTTTTCTCTCCTTCCTTTTGCTTTGTCACGGACGCCCTCCAACTGTAAGGTCTGCGGCCGCGTCATTCGAGTAAGATGAATGTTCGCGGATCGCGGAGTCAGCGTTGGGGTATTTGAAGGGGTGGGCGATGACTCGGTGTTTTTTTGGAAATCGATATTGGCCCAAAAAGTAGAGTGGGCGATGACTCGAGATATTACGGTAGGTTAAAATCCTGAGAATGTTGTTTTGCACTCTATTCTTTGTAAAACATGTAGGCATACTTTTCTTTACTATGGCATAGGATAGAGTATTGTCAAACAGTAGGGCAAACACGATTTCTAAGTTCCAATTTTTTCTAAAGCAGGACAGATTAAAAAAAAAAGGCTCTTAGCACATAAAAATTGCAGATGTCAGGATCTAAACATCATTATTATTATTATTGCCATTATTCAACTAAAGACCCGAGCTTAATGCAGGAGCAACATGAAACTTCTGCTTTTTTGTAGCAATAGATCAATGCCAGCTTCATAACTTGCAGAGCATGTCTGCAAGAACTTGCCTTGCTCCACAACAGTGGTGACCCCCTGGGCTTTTTTCACAGGCTCATGCGAAGTAGACGGGCCGTCAGAATCTCCATGATCGGAGCCGTCACAGGACAAAGGGGAGTGCGCTTCGTCTTCTTCTGTATAAGAAAATGTGCACAAGACATGCTTAACGCATGGAAGGTATGAATTACGAAAGCCTAACCAACACAACCCCAAATATCTTCGCTTCCAAGTTCTTGCTTTAAATTCTGTTGTGTCTCAAAGCGAGGACATACACCCTCTGTTCCTCCGCTTGGTTGATTTTAATCAAATTTGCAGTGGAAGTTTATATGAGTGGCAAGATCATCCCTGCCAAATTTCATTGTCCCATGTTGATTCTGAAACTTGTTACAAATGTTACAATATGGAAATCAGTGTGTGTTCGCTTAGGAAAACTATTGTTTAAAAATAACAATTTGTGATTTTTATGCGTAATATAGATGCTTTACACATGCGCCAAATTACATCCGCCAGATGTGACCTTCTCTTGTTTTACCGAGATACCGAGCCATCAAAGACGGGCGTTGACGAGTCTGCAGAAAGACCAGTGATGGGGGGAAGGACACGGTAGAATCTAAAAGGGCAATGACCTGGCCTGCTTTGTTAATGACGAAGTGAAGCGAATGGAATAAGAGAAAACAAAAACTGAAGGTCGGTTATGGCGACGCCCATGCACAGCTGCTGCAAAGCGTCTATAGTCATAGGAATACCCATAGTACATACCCAGCTAGTTATTTTGTTTTTTGCATTGTTTTTCGTAAGTATAACTCTGCAAGAAGATTAACATTTTTTTTTTCATGTCTGCACTTTTTTTACAAATGTAGTTTTTTTAGCATAAAAGAATGTTAAAGTAGAGAAACTAACTGTCCAGGCATGTTCTTCACAAAATTCTATCCCAGAAAACCACCTAAGAATAATTCTCTCTTGTGTAATCGGAAAACGATAGTTTTCCTAACACGAAGGTCTGATGGAAAAACAAAAACTGAAAAAAATGAGCTTGAAATGTAAAGAGTGCTGGTTTTTTTATTTTCAGAGGCACAGCTACTCAAGAAAAGCCCCCAGGGGCATACATGGGCCCATCATCTTCAATTTTCTTTTGCTCAGCAGCAACAGCTTGCAGTTGTCTTGCTTTCTTGACCGCTTTTGCACTCTCAAGTGACCCTGCACATACCCGTTTCGTGGCCTCCTCAACGTGCTTGATATGGTGTGTGTGCCACAGGCTACACCGAGCTTTTCGAGCACACTCTCACTACCCTGAAGGCTAGCATTAAATTCGAGAACAGCCAGGGCAGCTGCAGTTTTCATTGTCTTCAAAGAGGCAAACTCCGTCTTCGGGAACCTTTTCCACACCAACGCATTGAAGGATTCGTTGTCATTTTGCGTAAGCATCCTTGAACAGTGGGTAAGGAGGTCTGCGTCGGCCAGTCTGTTGTAGAGAGCTACTAGCTCCTCAGCAATCTCCCTGCTAAATGCTGGGCAGTGGGCTCGAGCTACTGATGGCTTGCCAGCATCGAGCAAGGCCAGGTGCCTGTTGTAATGACACCAGGAGTCTTCACCACGTGGGCAGCCGAAGTGTCAAGGTTCAGCGTCTGTGGAGTATGAATGGAGCAGACTTACAAACACTGCCGTCTGCATCTTCTTCACATTAGGAGCATTGTCTTTCAAAGCAGTACCGTAGTATGCAGTCAACTTTTTGGTAACCACCTTTGTGATCTTGCCCTTGCCTCCAGGCCCCTCTTCGCCTTCTTGACTTATTTAATGCCAGCAACAAAACATTTGGCAACGTGGTTCACGCAATCTTCCTTGACAATCTCCTTGTTGTACAGGTTCAGCTTCGGGACGTGCAGGAACGACTTGCTGTCTCCATCGCTGAGCACAATTGTATACTACATCCTGTGCAGCTCTTCTGACCGGCTGAACAAGAATCCGGCTGCCTCCACTTCCATGACACTTGCAGAGCCATTAAAATTCTTTTGGCATACCTCCTCGTGGCACTCCATCCACTTTCGATAGGTATCCTCCCCTTCTTTCGGTCCCAAGCTACACGTGTGGCAGTAATTGCTCTGGACCGAAACATCAAGCACGATACCTGAGTCTAGTTCAAACACCGCTCCGAGTCCAAAGTGGGAAAAGTGACCTCACTTGTGCCAGGTGCCGTCGTAACTCACACTGACATCCTGAAGCTCGCTGCTGTCACGTAGAGCATTCTTCGTGCGTCTTTACTTGAAACTTCCGGCGTACTCTCTTTGTCGTCGTCCAACTCATCTTCGAGTGGACTCGCCCCAGAACCTCGCACCGCTGCAATACTAATAGCTTCATCGGTGGTTGCTCCCTCACAAATAACGAAGTCATCGTCATCCTCATCTACATACCGTAATATCCCGAGTCATCGCCCATCCCCGAGCCATCGCCCACCCCATTTTTTGGGCCAATATCGATTTCCGAAAAAACACCGAGTCATCGCCCACCCCTTCAAATACCCCAGCGCGGACTCAGCAATCCGTGAACACTCATGCCACCCGAATGACGCGGCCGCGGACCTTACAGTTGGAGGACGTCCGTGACAAAGTAAAACGAAGGAGGGAAAGACACTTCTTTTTGTTTACGCATTTCCTCCGTGAGCGACCCCGAAGTGGTTGTGTATCCGTGCGAAAAGAAAACGATGGAGATAACAAAATAAGAGTTTGTTAATGTAACCGCGGACTGTTAGGTCAGTCTGTCTCCGCCGAAGTAAGGTCACCGCGAACCCGCTCCTTCTTCCCGCCCGTCGCGACCGCGGTTGTGCAATATTTTAGGCAAAGCCAACGCGTAAATAAAGCTTTGCTGGAACGTAGACGTTTGCAGAGCGTCCCAACCGTGCATTGATAGCCCGCCGTGCACCGACGCACGTATGTACGCACCAAACAAGAAAGTTGCGCAAGAGCTTGTAATTGACAAGGCGCCCGACTTGGCCCGACGCCAAAGTATTTGCCAACACGACCGCCGGCTTTCCCGCTTTCCCAGCATTGCTCTTGGTCGCTTCTTTGGTCTGCTCGCTCGCTCGCTCGCTCGCTCGTTGAGCCTGGTTGGTTTTTCCATTTTCTTGTAGACTTTTCTTTCTTTTTTTTTTTTTACTAACTAGGGGAACATAGTGGTGACATTCTTTCGCGGAACAAACGTTCGCGCTATATGCAGATCGGCGGTGTTTCTAGCGCGTATGCAAGCAACGGACTTCGCTATAGTAAAATATTCTTTATTGAGCATTTTTTTCTATAAAACAATGAAACTAAATCGAGTTTTGAGTTTGATGTATCTCTTGTGCATCAGCGCTAGATACGCAGAGAAAAATAGGCGTTTTTTTCCGCTTTTTTTCAATTGTTTGTGCTCACCCACCGAGACATGGCCCACCCCACTTTTTTATGAATTTCAGGCGGTAGGGGGGTGGGCGATGACTCGGGATATTACGGTAGTTTTGAAATGTGTCGTTTGCAGGAACAAAGTGTTTTTTCCACAAGGTCCGACCACACGTCGTCCGCGACGATCGCCTCGTCAATCGCATCATTGCGCCGCTCGGCGTCCTCTGAATTCCCGGCATCACGCACAAATCCTGTGTTGCGAAAACACTTCTGGATGGTTGTGGCTTTTATTTGCCACCACGACACGGTGATCATGTCGATGGTGCCCCTCAAGTTCACCTTGATGGGTTCCTCTCGTTGCAATTTTAAGACAACTTTTTCGCACATGCGCTTCTTGTAGAGTGCCTTGACTGTAGCAATGACGCCCAGATCAAGAGACAGGCTTTTAGCCGTGGTGTTTGCCGGCAGGAACTTCAAACTGACTGCTCTTAATTGCAGCTGCACATTGTGAGCGCTGCAGTTGTCTAGGGTAAGAACGACGCGCCGTTTTTCTGCGACCATCGCCTCATCGAAACTTTTCAGCCAACTACCAAAGAACTCCGGGGTCATCCAGGCCTTTCCATTTGCTATGTACACCACAGGCAGACATTCTTGCTTCTTGAAGCAATGGGGTCGTTTTGATTTCCCGATGCTGCTTGTCGGAGCCGTCTTATGTTTGCACAAAAGAAAACCGTGACATGTTCCTTTGAGACTTTGAGGCCAGAACAGGGTTCACCCCTCATCGCGAGAGTGCGATCGGGAAGCATGTAGCACAGACCAGCTTCATCGGCATTATAGATGTCCTTGACCGTGTACGCGGAAAGTATCGTCTCGAGGTGAATGCGAAACCACACCTGAATGCTGACGTCGGTGACATCCCCACTTTTGCCCGAGACAAGTTTGCAGCTAAACCCGTGGTGGTTTTCAAACCGCTGGATCCACTCGTTGAGGGGGTTGAAGCCTTCGTGTTCAAACAAATGTCCAAAGGATCTAGCCTTCGCTTGTAGCATTGGGCCACTCACTGGGACGTTCTTAGCTCGCACTTCACGAAACCACCTAAACAAGGCTTTGTCGACGTCCTCATACTTCGACGTACGAATCCCCTTTCTTGAAAGCGACACAGAATCTTGCTGTTGCTGCTTCCGTACCTGCTCCCGGTTCTTCCAGACAGTAGAAACCGTTATGTCAGCGACGTTGTACTTGACCGCGACGGAGGCTTTTTTCATGCCGCTTTCGACATCTTTGACAATGCTCTGTTTAGTTTCGAGACTGTCGTTTCTTGGAAATCTTGAGCTTAGGAGACAAGGACAGATTGGCGATGGGCAGTAGATTTCTGTACAATATGCTTGATGCGGTCCGAAGAGATGTGGAGCAAGCCAGCAACCTGCAAGAAGCGAAACTAGAAACTATGCAGCTACCTTACCCAGCCTTCGTTTTGCCCGTGGTGTAAGAAAGGAGGTTGGTTTTGTGTCCCTCGGGCGAGGGAATGAAATCGAAAGGGCGAAAGGCTTGGGTGGCTCGTTGGGGCTATCAGAGTTGAGCACGTGCGTGCGTGTGTCGCACCTCGCTGCGTTGTAACTCGCTGCGCCGTCATTCGTTTCTCCCCTATCTCTTTCCTTCTCCTCGCTTCTTCCACTCAACGTTTTTGTCATCCTTGCCCCTGCGAGTGCCGCTTGCGCCGTTATCTGGTGTCGCACAGGGAAGCGTGCTTGCTGTGCCAGTCGGTTGGCGGGCTGTTCCAGAAACCGCACTATAACCGGTATTTCCCTTCGCGCGTCTGCATTTTAAGCGTTATGTAATTGCATGGAGTTGTATGAGAGGCGGACCGGTAGTTGAAAATAGCCGCGTTTATATCCGGTCCTGCACTGTGAGTGGTTACATTATAAGTGAGCTATACTGTACACAGTGTGATGTCTGTCTGCCTTTGAGTTATGGCGACAATGGTTTAGACTGTAGATGAGAAATTTCGCTAGTGCAGTACCACTGCTAGCCTTGGGGTCTTCAACGCGCGCCACACAGTAGTGATGCACGACTGCATGCCGGTACGATATTCATCCAGATCGAAACGGCCACGGGTGGAGATTGAACGCAGGATCCCCAGGTTCAATCCCCAATCCCATATCCCCAAACCCCTAACTGCCAAAAAAGCAACTGAAATGCCAGCAGAGCTTGCCTTGGCTGATACGCATGGAGATGTGCTCCCCATGCTCGCCCACGTGTGCTTGCAGTGGGGACTTGCAACCAGGTTCTCCAGAGCATGAGCCTTCAGCGAGTTGAGGAGCAGTCAACTCAACTTGCCCTGTTGAACAAGCAGCACAACACATCCACTGTCCGTGTCATCAAAAATAGGTGGAATATACAGATTTATTCCTGATCAATGTTTTATAATTTATGTTTATCTAAGCTAAAGTTTGTCCCCTGCCATTGCTGCACTCTCTCAAGCTGGCGACTCTATCAGCACAAAGAAGGCAAAAGTATCATAATACCCTGAGACAACCCTGCTATAATTGAGTGCTTTTTGAGTGATATTAACGGCCAATCAATCTTTTTGTGTGCAATAAAAAAATAATTGTTGTAGCAAGACTAAGAACATGAAGACTTCTAAAGAAACAGAAAAATTAGTTTACTCACTGTTTATAAATTCATTGACAAAACTATAGAATAAAAAGTGGGTGTCAAACAAAATATTGATCACACACAGTCACGAAATCTAGCGCACAAGTAGGGACCACCAATGCAAGCCACTTGTGGAGCTTGCCATAGCTGAGTCAGTCAAAGGCAAGAGAAATTCCAAAGTGTTTGAATGACTCGGACATGACTCCGTCAGAGACGGAGGAACAGGCTTTTGAAATTAAGTTTCTATTATTTAACCACTCAAGTAGGTAGAAATAAGACAAAAAACACAGTCAAGCTGATAAGCTTTCACGGAGCTCCACTACTTCACTTGTTTTTGGTCGAGATAAAATTTTAAAGTCCAGTCTTACACACATTAGGGCTGTTCAACGATATCCTGTTTCCTCTCGATTGCGATTAAATAATATATTTTTTTAGATCTTACGGGTTTTTAGAGCTCTTGCAGCTAAGGACAACCGAACCAAGGGTGACCGCGACCTACATCGGCGTTGTGGCTGAAACTTAAATTGACGGAAGACTAGAGTAACCTATTTTTTTTTTTTTTAAATGATGCGTCCACAACCCTGAAATTTTGCTACCCTTGCACTTTCCCCCAAGTACAGTACAAGGTAACAATTGCACGCGATCGCGCGAGGTGACGTGAGCCTTGCAGCTGGTATAAGTAGAACTTCTGCGTAAGTCAGAGAGGATCAAAGGGAGTCAGAGGGGTGCACCGGTCGCGTTTGAGCTTGCCTTCCGTCATGGTACCAATGGTGTTCCAGTGTCCCTCCTGATTCAGCAGATGTAGACATGCGCTGCTGCGGTCCTTGGAGCAGAGACTTCCACCCACTGGAGTGAGCGTTACGTCGCTCGGCTCTGTTGGAGAGAACGCCACATGAACCTCAAAATCCAGGGACAAAGAGTGATACGTGTGTGCACAGTGCACGATTAGACAGTGAGAGAGAACAAAATATAAAGTCAAACCCTAGCTATGATGAAATTGAGGGGTACCAGAAATATGTGTGCTCTATTCATACCTGGTTGTACTATCTGGACTTCGCAAAGCACCGATTTTTACGCATACGGCATGTCAGTCGTGCAGCACGCAGAAAAAGATTGTGCACGCTGTCCCATCCTTCGTTTGCTCAGTGTGGAGTGGCAACAATAAAGCCAGATTAGTGCTTACTGCACTACCCCATACGCATGTGTATGCATTAAAGTGGTAAAGAAACAAAACTTTAGCACCTATCTTTATGTTTAAATGTTAACCATATTCAATGCCGTGACAACACCAACTTTGTTTTCAAAAAGACATGAAACAATTATTTAGAATGAATCAAACGATTACCAGATTGCACCGGGTAGACGTTCCCAAAACTTCTGAGGATGCCATTACATGAACTGTCCGATTAAATGGCACCCAGCTAAACGCGCGCGCTCTGCCTGTCGAACTTGGTTGAACCCGATTTATTTTCTCTCCTGCATCTGAGAATTAAAGTCATATGGCTGGGGAATAGAAAGGAAGACAGAGAGAGGGGGTGAGAGTGAGAGGAGGTCAGTGTAGTTTTGAGACGCACGTGAGTCACTTCTTCACCTCACGTCGCCCAAAAAAATCTCGGGCAAGGTAGAAAAAGAGGCGTCGGAACAAGGCCGGAAAGGAGGATGAAATATCCCTCAGACTTTGCATCATCCCCCAGCTGGGCACTGCCGGGTCAGAGCTTGGCGCGCAGGTGCGAGCATGTGCCTCGTGGCCTAGAAAATGTGTGCACGAATAAGGACGGTTTCTCGAGCTCCTGTCATGCTGTGCCGTATCTCATGATGTTCGTCAGAAATGTTGCAAATCTTCGACGCACTTGCTTCGTGACGAGGCAACGCCATTCAGACACCCTTTTTTTCTCCCACTGTGGTCTCAGTTATCTCAAACGGCGAAGTTTAAAGATCCCAAATTTAAGACAGGGATCAACATAAATCAAGGAGAGCATTTGGGATTTAATGGCAGTTGCCTCCTGTGCAGATTGGTCACAAGTGAGCATGTGTCGCGTAGCAAGGAGAAAAGCGGTTAGAAAGGGGGGGGGGGGGGGGGGGGGGGGGACGGAGACCCTTACTTACGATCAACACTTTCATCAGCTTCTCGCAGCCCCCAAGGGAGTATTCACTCGAGGCCATAGCTGCGTATGTGGCTGCTAAGCGTAAGCAGACGGTGAGCTTACACATTTCTTTTGCGATGTGGTTCACATCATCAAGATTTCAGAAGTTAGCAGCCCATAAATGTGAGCTCATTCTGAGCATGCGCAGTAAACAGTGCACACAAATATGGCGTTCATTGTAAATGTGGCCCATGCACCATGTGACTTTGATTGAGCAGTTGAAAACACTGAACTCTAGGCACTCCAGCAAGGCCGTAATGCGTTGACGGCATCAAGTGGAGAAATCACAGCCATGCCAGCCTCACCGTAGCCTTGCCAGTGTTGCGACAGTCGAAGTCACAAATGCACTGCATCTCCTGAGATGCATTGTAGCAATTCAGTCAAAACACAAATATGTGACGGTCACTTACTAAATCGTGATTGGATAAATACTGCAGTATACTCTCTGGCAGCAATGAGCCACACAGAGGAGCTCTTTACCTCTTGTTTGAAAATGTGCATCACGTCAGAGTTTAGCCGCATGCATCTTTATGCACATGAACAAGACACTGTTTGGGCACTGCCCCTTTCCTTTATGTGCAAAAAGTGATACTATACATAAAGTATGTGCAGACTGAAGCTTGAAGAAATAGCAGCTGTTAGAAACTATTACAATTTCTGCATTTATATTCTTCCATTTATAAAAAGTCTGTTTTACCTCGAAAAATGTCAGTATTTATTCCCACTAACAGTCATACTCAAGCGCACCACACTCCGCTTGGATGTCTAGCCATCCACAAGCGGTCATGCAGCCTGCAGAGCAGCTGGGGACTCCATTTGAAGGTGAGCTTGCCTGTTTCCATCCCAATGGTGGTTGCTTGGCCCATATTCTGGTGCCCATGGGTAGAGGGCAGGTCCCCCGTGTCTCCACAGCTCAAGGCCTCGGAGGTTGAAACGGCAGACTCTTCATCTTGCTCTGTCGGAGGGAACACAAAAGAGATTTGCACTTCGGCTCAACACATGTTTGAAACAAGCAGGAAGTAATTCACTCATTCAATGTTGGCACAAACATATATTTTCTTTTTTGGTTCATTGACCACTAGTTGCACTTTCCCAAGGAAGAGCAACATCACATACTACTGACACTAACAAATGCCCCTTGAGCAGTGCTGCTGCAATCATAAGGTCTTCTCATTAACTCAAAATGGTAGTAAAAAAAAAACATAGGAGCTTACCTTTTTTGATTGCGACGGTGGAGGTCGACTGTCTTTCTGGATGACGATGGGAAGGTGGCAAACCTCCACGGTCCTCGGAGTGTTCACTTCTGTCTATTGGAGCAGGCGGAATCCTCTCTGGCACTGTTTAGGAAAACAGCACAATAACGTTGTTCAACAGTTTGGTGAGAAACATGTGCCATTCTGTCAGTCAGTTCAAAATCACATACAGAGGTCAGAACCATAGAGGCACAAGAAAGCAGAAAGCCAGGTTGTAGAATAAGACATGGAGGAACTCAGGGCTGTTGAGAGATTGTGAACCAGACATCTAACGCGAGATTGTGCTCTCTCATATACTAAAAGGGGGAATTGCCTAGTGTGCTTCACAGGACGTTTGCAGAGTTCTCCGATTGCCGCTGCAGAGCCTGTATCCATCTCGGAAGGGAGCTGGGTAGTCAACAGAAGGAGACATCTGCAAACACTGGTGGAATTTTGCTGTTTGTTTGTCTCACAAACAATAGGCAGATTAACCACACTTGTAGAACAGGTAATATAAAAATCCATCAAAATTAAACATCTGTGCAGAAAACTTCACTCAGGAGTGCAAATAGGTTCCACCGACGCCGTGGAATGGTGTCATACAACTGTGACCACTGTGCTGGCGGTTTAGACAACCCGCATTTCCAGCGTATGCCTACAAGTGCTTTAGTAATACAGCTTGCACTTGGCTGGAGTTATCGCCTGCAAAGCAAAAACGAGTTCAGTGCCAGCTACACTAACAACTTCTACCGCATCCTGTCGGTAGCTATGTCAGCACGACCATAGCAGAGCAGCTGTCAATGAAGAAAAGGCACAGTGGCAGAGAAAGCTTAACAGAGTCGACATCGATGGTGCGGCCACACATTATTGAATGGGTGGGATGCATTTCATTAGCAGTGAGTGATGGCACTTCTCTCATGTGTTCATGTTCGTCCAAGCCTTGCATCGGTTTTTCCGGTGAGTGACGTGGATGCACTTTGCTTGTTTCAAGATTTAAGCAGATGGTCAATGTTGTCTGACAAGGACAATCTATAGCGGGTTCCCAGTCCAATTTACAGGTACAAGACGCCAACCCTAACGTTGCCCGACAGCACCTCAGTAACCAGCAATTAGGTTATGAAACTGCAACTCCTGTACCCAATTGCTTCTCAAAAATATTGCGGGATTTTGATGATCATTTTGTTAGTGTCTTTAAATGCACCCATATAGTTAAGTTTGTTCTTGCCAACAATGTAATTTGCACATTAGAATCTTTCACCTTAGGATAAGAGCTTGCATCGCAAAGTGACAGCAAGAGCAGATCTTTGCTCTCGTGATAGCATTGATGCTGGCACCTGCGCATACTGGCTCAATTCAACACCACCTACGCTGTATCCCACTAGATGCGGCGCGCAGCTGTGCCAAAAGTAGACGGGCGAGAGCAGAACTCGAGAAGTTAGAGAGGAAAGGAAGGAGGAACTCTTACCCGAACCCTATTTTGCAAACCCCGTCGTTTTTCTCTCCCTCGGAGGTTAGTCCGTCGCTCAAAACTCGCACAGAGGCAGCTTTCCTCTTTCTTTCTCCCATGGTTTCCACAGCGCCATGCCCAACTAGTTAGATAGGAGAGATAACCAAGCCCTAGCGCTGACCTGACGGCATCATCTAAAGAAGGCCAACAATGGGGCACGGCCCTTGCGTCAGCAACTGGACAAGACTTGGGTTTGCACCGATTCAACACGGGCTTCTGTGCGATGCGTCGTTTTCACACTAGCGATTTGGCGCGCGTCTCCTAAAACACCCTCTAGCTTAAAATGTCATGCACAGATGTCAAAACAAAGTAAAACTTGATTGAACTAGATCAATCAGTTAAAAATGCCTTAAGCAAGACAAAGTACACCAACTGCACTTGGCAGTTTCTGAATGCTTTATAAAAGATTCCATAGAGATGACGAGTAAACAATGTTTTCAAGTAGCTGCTTCATTCGGATAATGAAAACAAAAAAAAAAGATTATGGCAACTTTTTCAGTACACTAATAAAAAATGCAGACCTGCTGCACTCTACAGCTCACTGAAGAAAATAAAGCAGCAACAGTTGCCACTGCTATATACCTGAATGGGGCCAACATGCAGCTTTGTGTACCTTTAAACTCATTCCCAAGGGATTTCACACTTCAAATCAAAGGGGTGTGGAATGTAAAAACAAATATGCCAGCTAGCAATCTGAAAATGACAAGTTCACGCTAAGTACAACTTAAGATTTTGTAATTCATAAAGTTTCTTATCAGTGGTGACGGTGGGTCAATATGACAAACTGTTTGTCACAGCAGTTCCACAAGGACTTGTTTGATCCAAAACAAGGCCAATCCTTTCTCAGGACCTGAAAGCAAATGAAGAATATAATAACTGGTCAACTATGTAGTAACAGCTGTGAGTGAACCATTTAACAAACTACATTTTCTCATTCTTTCAGCGTAAAGTATACCATAATTATGACATGGCCCTACAAGAATTAGGATGTCTTACACAGAATGATTATAAGCTTCAATGTCATATTTATAATATACGGCACTAAGAATAAACAAACAAGCAAAGATATCTGAATTGCACAAAATGGTTGAATCTTTAGTTGCCACAATGCTAAACTGACAGATTGACTAAACCTTGCATAACCTACTTACCTGCAATGACAAATCACATTCACACAGCTTTGGTTAGAATGAACACTCACAAATAAAAAAAACTTCCACAACAACAAAGTATAAGACCTGCCGAATGGAGGGGATACACAATTTCTGGATGTGCAAGCCAAGATTACACATTTTACTCTTGGGAAACCTCAGTAGAAAAAAAAAACATGAAATGAAACTCCATGTACCCCATCGAGACACTTCAAAAAGAATAAAATCAGTTTAAGGGCAGTTTGCATGCATTTATAAATTGGTTTGATATTTATATATTATACACTGTAAAGAAGCGTTGCCCTTTATGGTAGTGTATTATGATCACCACCACCGTGACATTATACAGAGTACTTTGTAAAGGTGAGGACACTACTTCATGGTCCTTTTGAATTTTATATATCATTTAGATTCCCCTAGGTACCATGAAAACATTGTTCAAGCCCTGGGTGTAAGAATGAAAGGGATTGCAGATTGTAGGCTGTGTTCAGCTTGCAGACAATGTACACTTGAGGGTTGAAAGCACGGGGCAAATGGGAACAGTGCAACCACTATCTATGCAGGATTCTGTGCATAACCACCTTTCATCAACACGAATGCAGAATTCAACTAGTTTTGTGCAGAGTACAACTTCTGGAGCTTTGAAGAAGAGGTTGATGCATCAAATAGTCACGAAGTTCGTTAGTTTGTGTTAAATTAGGATGGTAAAGCAGCACCACGCCCAACTAGTTAGATAAAAGAGAAATAACAGGGTCCTAGTGCTGAACTGACGGCATCATCTAAAAAAAGGCGAATGAGGGGCACAGCCCTCACGTCAGCGACCGGACGGGACTTGGGTTCACACTGATTCAACACGGGCTTCTGTGCTATGCGTCGTTTTCACACTAGTAATTTGGCCCCCGTTTCTTAAAACACCTTGTACCGTAAAATGTAATGCACTACAGCCTATTGGCCTCGAGATTGACCTAGAGGTGGCGCTACGGTCGCGCTATCATCATCATCAAAGCGGGGATAGGAGAACGGCCGCCCCATAGGCTCTCCACGGTCGCGCGCGAGACGGCGTTTATTCTTGCGTTTATTTTATCGCATACTATCGGTAGAAAAACGATTCTAGCGGAAAAGGATGCAGTACTGTTCGGTGCTTCAGTGAAGATTGAATCGTGGTGCCAGCGTGCGGCCCAAATGTATATAATCGCTTCTGTGGGTGCGTCGTCTGCTCTAGGCAGACGTTGGAAAGCATGAATCACCACGACTGATGCCTGTTGAACTGGAATATTTATGTTAAATATTTGTTTCTTTTAAAATGAATGTATCGGTTCATCAACGAAGGAATTAAAATAAATCCAACCCAGATAACATAATACTGGTACTGTGGGCTGTGAAATCGCAGTTTCTATGCTTTTTTTAACGTCTAGCTTTTGCAGCAATATAAATATTTAGAATGAAGATAAGTTAGCGCTGTATAGGAAATTAACATGCTATTGAGTTCCTCTGCCCTTTTACTGTGCCATAGTGTAAGTAACATTCTTGGAGTCTGAACAAATCTACTGCGTTGCGATGAGGAGAGAGTGTCTCTTCTTGTTAAAATCTGCAAACTTCACGGTCGGCAGGACAACTGAAACAAGTGAAACAAACTGTTCTAATATATCTTCCGTGACTGTAATAAACGAGTGTAACCGAGCAACGCAGCAATGTTCCTGTTATTAAATGCTTTTCTCGGTAGTGTGGGTTCACCCGCTTCAATTGTCTTAGTGAGGGCCGCGGATGTCAAGAGGCTAATGCTATAAATTTCTGGCCAAATAATCTAGTATATTCAAACATGGTAGACCTTGCAACCCAAACAAACGACGCGCACTACGACACAGGCAGCATCGGCCGCAGTGATACTCTTTTACCGATGAGGGCTAGCCACCTTCACGAGACTTTCCGATTACCCTCCGCCCTCACCTAACGTATATCGGGACTGGGCATTCATCGATTAACTTTCAGATTATTCAAGTAATGCTTTAATTGAAATTTTTTTGCCGGTTAATTGGAGTCTTGTGCTGGAGAAAGTCAACAAGGAGTAACAGATGCCTGCTTTAATATTTTTGACGTCTTTACTTCTTTTGTGGCACCGGCTTGCACGGTAAACCACTTCAGCGTGGTTTACCATTTATCATTTCTCCGAGGGTGATTATACTGTTTAAATAATAACTTAAAAATACTTCATTTTAAAAGGCTTCCCGTGTTCATATTTATGTAGGACTCACAACGTGAAGTTTATAATGGGAATGCAATATGCCATTTATGACATAGTAAAACCAGTAAAAAATGTGTAGTTTTAACGTCTTTCATGCAATATGACCGGGGAAAAATCAACATACGGATTTATTGATTGATTAGTCTATTGAAGGATAGCCATCAGTCGGGTTAATTTTCTAATAAAACCACAGACCCACTAAACATTCAATGCTTTATGAAAGCCGCGGTTTGTGCGAGATAACAAAAATACGTGGGACCAGCGATTGTATAAAAAACAACACACTAAGATTATGGAAGCCTCCGACTTAATAATAATCGCTTTGCTGAATTTCTACGCATGGCGAACGATACAACACAACCTTTAGTAAGAAGAAACGGCAACAAAAACATAAAACATTCAATAAGGAATGTCAAGCTCAGCCTGAAACGGGCTTGCGTCGTCGAGATCCATGCTTCTGAGCGTGCGTCCGTAGCAGACGACGCACGGCGGTATCCCCGCTTTCGCGCGTTTCCAATTTTGGCCGCATGGTGGCGGCACGGTTCGATCTCGAGGCGAATATGCAAACACAAAGTAAAACTTGATTGAAATAGATAAATCAATTAAAAGAATGCGCAAAGTAGATTATAAACCTTGAGCAAGACAAAGTGTACCAGCCGTGCTTGGTGGTTTCTGAATGCTTTATAGAATCTTCCATAGAGATGATGAGTAAACAGTGTTTTCAAGTGGGCTGTTTCATTCAGAGATTGCAAACAAAAAGATTCTGGCAACTTTTGCAGTACACTGATAAAAATGCAGACCGGCTGCACTCTACAGCTTACTGAAATGAACAAGTCAATGACAGTTTCTACTGCTATATACCCAAATGGTCCAAAATGCTGCTTTGCGTACCTTCAAACTCATTCCAAGAGAGTTCACACTTCAAATCAAAGGGGTGCAAAACGTAAAAACAAACATGCCAGACAGCAATCTGAAAATGATAAGGTCACACTAAGTACAGCTTCAGGTTTTGCAGCTTATTATGTTTCTTATCAGTGGTGACAGTGGGTCAATAGGACAAACTGTTTGTCCCAGCATTTCCACAAGAACTTGTTTGATCAAAAGCAGGGTCAATCCTTTCTCAGGACCTGAAAGCAAATGAAAAACAGAAGAACTGGTGAACTACGTAATGACAGCAGTGAGTGAACCATTTAACAAACTAATTTTTTCAGCATAAAGTATAACACAAATTGGTTTCACATTTATATATTATGCACATCAAAGAAGCATTGCCTTTTATGCTACTATAATATGATCGCCACCCTTTGTCGACCCGCTCACTCGGAAGGAAATTTTTTCCAAAAAGGGCGTGTCACGATCCTTGAATACGGTTTTACTGAGGAAATTAGCTATGCACGATTGTGATTTCGGGTTTGTTGGGATGCTTAGAGCGTCTAGATTAGGTTGCCACCACAAAAGGATGATCTCAGAATCGACTTTAGTGCCCCTTTAAGTCGTCTTCATTTTCCCTCCCGGATCACGAATATTGAAATTATTTTGCAATTTGGTACACGGAGGCTGCTGAAAATCATTTTCGAAGTACCACTGAAGCCCCTCCTTCCCGGAGCGCTACATCATATTAGGAGTTTTTCAGAATCTCCACTGTCGCACATCTTCAGCGCCTATCAAAGCCATGCAAGCGCACTCTTGACATTTTCATACACGTTAGAAAAAGACGTCAAGACTGGTGTCAGCACAAGGGAGTATGCCTGGCAAGATTGAAATTGGACGCGCTGCCCACACGAGTAACACGAGCTTGACGGCCGAAAGAACCTAGCACGACATAATGACAGGTCGGATGTTTTTCGTGCTTTCACGCGTTTAGTTACATTTCCGAGGAAAATGAATGTGATATTCAGGTCCATGGGATAAGAATTCTTTAGATTTCACCTCTAGCTCCTTTTTTTCAAGAACCTCTTCAGCTTCCCTTTAATTGTGCTTCGCAACACACTTCTGTAACTTTAGCCACTTGGAAAGTCGACAAATTTCGAGTCAACGGAGCAAGTTCAGTTTAGGCATGGCAGGCTTTGCATCCTTCTTAAATGTGCGAATGGAGCATTGTTAAGCAACGCTGTTAGACTTGGCAGAAGAACCACCAGTATGGCGCTCTAAACACAGCGTTACAGAAATACCTTTGTTGGACTACCACAAGAAAAAGGGAGTGGATATATTGCCGGCAACCGGCATAGGAGCTTGGGAAAGAAATTGCCGCCAGCGTCCTCTCATTGGTACCTCCAACCGCCGTACACTGGCATTTCTGAGGAGAGGAGTCTGTGAGCACATCTGTAATCAATTTCAAGTGCATATGCTCCTGTACCTTTGATTGCATTGCCATAAAAAAAGTTGTCAATGCAATCGCACGCCCTGCCACTCCTTTGAGATTGCTGCCACCTCGCCTGGATAACAGGGCGAAATGGAGAAGGGCGCGCCGGAGAAAAGAAAATATGCACAGTACATTTATATGTAAAACTGATGATTGGACAAGCGCCCATCCCTCATTTTTTTTGTGATTATCTCTATATTTTGAGTGAGCACTTGCCCGGTATTTTACGTTAGTTGCATTCGATACGGTATCATTCTCATTGCAGGGTGTTCTTTATTTTGGCGAGATAGAGCTAATTCTTTATCGAAGGGTATCCTGAAGAGTATTGCGTTTGACTGGGCCGAGGTCTCTAGCCCCTGTTGTGCCGAGCCAGGTACACAAGCCCTTGAGGCTTACACCGGCTCATCATTGTACTTATTGAAAATGTATGTATTAGAAATAAAACTATTCTATTGTATTGTATTCTATTCTATATAAAGAAAAAGCTTACCAGGCTATAACCAAGAATTTTGCTCCAGTCGACAATCACCGTACCAAGGCAGCAAAACAAGCCATCGTCAGATTGCTCGGTGAAACTCAACAGGCCGGTCTCATGACCAAGATCAAAGCGGCAAAAAACGACTTACTATCAGTGATTTTTCAGCCAAGACTCATAAAGAAAGAGTTCCTTTTCGGGCCATTGTCTCGGAACGAACCACTTGGCAGGCCTGCGTGTCAAAGTTTTTGATCCAACAACTTTTCAATGTACAAATTGATGAACCTTTCCGTATACAAAACTCGGAACATGTGATATCCTTTGTTCAAGAACAGGGGCCCCTCATAGCCTCCGGGTTCTCTATAGATGTACAAGACATGTACTATTCTATTCCACACACAAGCCTCCTACAAGTCACAATTCATAAGCACCAACGGACGTGAGTCGCAAAAGAAACGCGTTGTTTCCGGCGTTCTGCAGGGGTCAGTGATTGGGCCTCTTGTGTTCTTGATTTTTATAAACAATCTTGAAATAAATCATCCATCTGTAGTGTTGATTTTTCGCGGATGATTGCGTTTTGTTTACAGACATTGTGTGTCGTGCTGACCAAGTTAACCTTAACAGTTGCCTATCACAAATATCATCATGGTGTGAGCATTGGCAAATGGTGCTGAATGCTTCCAAGAGCGCCCACATGACAGTCACTAACAAGAAACAGCTACTTTCCTTTATTTACACAATTGACGATCTACCCTTCCAAAAAGTCACAGAATACAAATACCTCGGGGTAACAGTTACCTCAAACCTCAGCTGGAATGCACATATTAGCAATTTAGTCACGAGGGATTCAAGGAAGTTATGGTCTCTTCGTAGACTTACGCCACTGCACCTCTACAACTAAACTGGCGGCTTACAAATGTTTAATCCGTCCCATTTTGAAGTATGCAGACGCAGTGTGGGATCCAAGGTCGCAAGTCTGTATCAATGCACTAGAAAACATACAAAAGAAAGCACTGCGATTTATCTACAAAGGGAACGGTTGCCGATCATCCATTACTGAACTCTATCGGCTATCCGGCTTGCCATGGCTAGCTGCTCGAAGGAAAATTAACAGACTAAAGTTTTTTCACAACCTTATCAACAGCCCAAACGGTGTGTCGTCAAGCGAGTATGTTATAGTCAACACTAACTGACTAACTAGAAATAAGCACGACAAAACGATGGACGAGTTTTAGGGGCAAAGCTCCTTAGGGTCTAGCTTTGTCCGTCCGGCGTCCGTGCTCACATCGATCTTGCTGGTGCTTGTGCTCGTGAGCTCACATGCTCGTGTAGGGAAAAAAAAAAATGATGAAAAAAAAAAAATGTTTGCACAGTCGACAGGATTCGAACCTGTGTGGGGAGACCCCAATGGATTTCTGGTCCATCGCCTTAACCACTCGGCCACGACTGCGGGACGAGTAGGGGGCTCTGAGATGTGGTAGTAACTCAAGAGCTGGGGATGTCATGGATGAAACGTTGCATGTAGCCGTTCAACGTCTATACAGGAGAGGGTGCTGCAGTCAAATGAGTATATAATCGTGTTAAACTTTGCATGCATTGGCTCAACGTTTATAGACGAGCACTGCGGTCAAATGCGTATATAACCACGTTCCATACCGCACATTCTCTTCTTGACATGGATGAAAACGAACGAAAGGCTCGGCATGCTGCGGCTCACCGTCTAAGCAGACAAGCATCTCCAGAGCTTCGCCCCAATCAACATCATTCACCATGTGGAATGTTTAATTTATTTTTCTGTCACAGTGATGTTTATATGTATAGCTGTTTTCCACGCACTGTTACTGAATGGAACAAGCTTCCGTCACAGCTGGTAAACGAAGACTGCCCTGTTGCATTCTCAGACGGCCTCCAGTCACTCGTCACTGATGACGCAAGTTCTTAGATTGGCTGGGATAAATTGTGTACCCCTGTATTTTACAACTAATGTTTCTTGGTCAATTTTTTTTTTTTTTTTTGTGCATATGCGGGGTAGCTCTGCCTTTGTATGTGTACAGATCTACCCATGTTTACTTAGGGTCTGCTTTGTTGTACATAATTCTGCTCTTATGCGATGTTTTGTTGTTTGTTTTTCTTGCTTCCAGTTATCTTTTCATTGCTTTTGCCATGGCCCCTTCACAGGCGGCCGGCCATTTCCACCAATAAATAAATAAACAATTTTAAAAAGTCATTCAAACCACCAACGAAGAGGCCTTTTCACTTTCCAAAATAATGCAGGGATGAGCTTAGGCAATTTCTTGGAAATCCTACAATTCTACCTGTCAGTGACTGTAGTAGCTCATCAAGAACACCAGTACGTGCAAAAGAATGGAGTGTGTACTGGCTCACAAGTGGCTCCACTTTTATGTGATATTCTTCTGGCCATGTGTGGACGAGCCATCCAGGAGTTCCTATGAGATACACGCATAGCGGGTAAATAATAAGATATGTGGACGATTTTCTTATGTTGTACACCACAGAAATTAACGAAAAAGAAGACAAATGCCTCAACACCGCCATGACACAGTTCCAACAAAGCTGCATGGATCTAACCTTCACCTATGAGACTGCTGTGGGTAATTCCATTCCGTTTCTGGATTTAGCTTTGGCATTCCAAACAGGACATGTATATTGTAGTGTAGTGATTGCGCAGGCGAGCTGGTGGATGTTAACCATTTTGTTCTTAGCCCGAGACTGAGGCAGGAAAAGAGGAAAGTTTCGAAGTAGAAGAAAAATGAACAGTCGAGGACACGTCTCTATAAACCGTGACTCTCTAGCCCTTCCCTCCTGAGATCTCATCTTAATACTATCCAGGACATGTATGTTGGAAATATCAAGCACGATGGGTGAAGGCATTTTTTCCTTATGAATCAAAACATTCAAAGAATGTAAAGGAAGCTGTGGCCATCCAAGCTCTCACAGCAAGCCTAAAGAAATCATGCTCAACTCAAGTCCAACAAAGTTTAGCTACCCAAATTTCTTGACTTCACAACGCGGGATATCCAAAACCCACGATGGCCTCCATTTGGGAAAAAATATGTCACACCACCAAGAGGAATAATGTTAAGAGTCGATGAACAAAGAAACCCGGACCACCCTTTGTAGTGATCTCATATATTCACGGGGTTACCCAAAAGTAAAAAAATATAGCGAACCGGCAAAACGTGCAGGTCCTCTGATCGGCGCCTAATAAGGCTTATTAAATGTGCCGCAAAATAAATTAAGCAGCAATCAACATTAAAGAAAAGTGTAACACCAGGCACCAAACACAATACGCTCCATGTGAAAAGGAAGTTATCTAAAACATACCGCTAACATGTGGGCGCTGCTACATCGGACAGACCGGTCGGTGTATTATTGACTGAGCATGTGAACATGCAGCAAACCTTAGGAACCTCGCAGGACCAGGACATTTAGCTGCCCATTGTCGGGCATGCCTGTGTAAAGTAGAGTTCAACCATTTTCCCATAATAGGACACCATAAAAACCAGGTTGCAAGGGAGGTGTTAGAGGCCCTTGCTATAGACAAACTATATGAAAATAACAAATGTGTGAGCAACCCTTCAATCACCATTGCAAGTCAAAGAAAAAAATTTTCTACATGGCACCCTTCGCGAGTAGTTGACTAAAACCAGAAGCAAAAAATAAAAGCAATAGAAAAAATAGGGGGATGGATATAAATTAGGGTTTCCTATAAGGAAGTGGATATTCTGCCGGCAGCTGGCACGATAACCCGGGAAAAAAAAAGTTTCGGCAGTTGTGCCCCATTGAGTCTCAAATAAAACGAATTGTGAACACGGTTATTTCAAGGTGTAGAGTAGCTCAGTCGTAAGGTGCTTGCCCGATACGCAGCAGGACCCTGGTCAAACCACCGTGTCCTCTTTTTTTTTTTTTGAAAGTTTGTTTTGTTTTGTAGAGGCATTTGGCGGTATTTACGTCATATCTTTTTTCTTTTTAAGGATTAACACTAAAAGAAATAGTAAATAAATAAAACGAATGTTGTCGACGAAACTTCGCTATGGACTCCCTTTCCAGGGTGAATGGAGGACAGCGGGGCTTAAGCCGCCGGCCGGCCGCTGCGAAGCGGCGTGTACTGGTAGGCCAATTGGGTCAATATTTTTCTAATGAGCAGACGCAGACTGTCGCCGCGAAGCGGCGTGAACGCAGGCGGGGAATGTGTTAACCATAGAGTTATTTTAATAAACGCTAGAGGCTCAGCTGGCGCTGGTGTCTACGGGACTTCCGGTTTCAAATTGAAGCAGACAGCATGCAGTCTACTTTTCCAGTCTTCCTGTGTATTCCTATGGGAAAACACGCATGAATTTTGTCTCGTCGCCGGAAAATAACATTAATAACTTTTGTTATTTCGGCTGCACCGGATAGCATGTATGTTTATTAATATTGTGAAAGTGTAATTGCTTTAGTTACAGCATTTTTTCTTTACCACTGAACGATGCTAAACTTCGCTATATTTCAGGCACAAACCTCTATTCCATGGCAGGTATGTAGAAATGAGCGACGATTCTAAGCAAAATATCAATCGAAAGGAATGTAGAGTGCGTTCAAAGTTCGCCAGCATTCCGTTGGTGCTTATATATTGATAATATGCCCGACAATGGGCAGCTAACTAGTTTCCAATGGTATTGCAGTAGTATGGTCAGCCGACACCACCGATTCGTAAGTACAGAAGGGCTTTACAGATCGGAATACAGTAGCAATGCATCAACGTCAACCGTACCCCCGTCCCGTCACCCCCCAAACCCCCCTCAAAAAAAAAAAGGGGAAACGAATTTGAAGAGCGACGAGTGACAAACTAGCCCTGCTATACATGCAGTCATCCGAATTTCGGAAGGCCCCGGTCAAAACCAGATCGACAGTAATGATCGCAATAGTCCGGCGTCCTCGATAGCTCATGCATGTTTATCTACGGTATGATTGCTATAGCGTTTCAAGCTCTTTTTAGTGCGGAGGCAGCAGCAATCGCAATTCGCGCTTGTAGTCGTTAAGCTCGTGGAAGACTGCAGGATCTAGAAATTCTCGGGATTAAGTGGGGCCGAATATCATGAAGGCTTTTTTATGTATTTAATCACTGATAATGACGGTGCTTACCACACTCGTGAGAACCATATCGTTGCATTTTTACTCGTGGAAATAAAGCTGCGTTCTATTTTCTATGTACTCAGTTCTGTGAGCTTTATCCGAAGGTTGAAAACGCTGCCGTCACGTTGAACTCATTCTTTCTTGGTGTTTTACACTTGCTTGGCACTATGCAATGTGAGAATGTAACAGAAACCTGCACTTTCAAATACGCAATGCGAAAGATTGTGCTCTCTGAATGCGCGGAGAGGGCACGGCCGTCGTCTGCTAGTTCTCCTTCTTGCTACCTCCTAGGCGGCGCGCGCGGCGCCAAAAGGAGAAAGAGAGAAACGTAAAGGGTGAGGAGGAGAGCCTTATTTGCAACAGCACACTAGCGCCAGTTGAACCTCTCGCGTACATTATAACTCTATGGTGTTAACGAGCTCCCCAGTGATACATGCGCCGTCCGAAACTGCCGGCATTTTTTTCCCCGGGCTATTTTGCCGGCTGCCGGCCAAAATAGTCTCACCCTTCCTATAAATTGATGGAAGAGGAAGATGTAATAAAACAGTTGGTAGTCAGAGGTCGCTTCGCCATTCTTCTCTCCTGTCATCCGCCTTCCTTTGTACAGCTGGCTCCACCCAAGATGTAGTATAACCAACTATAATAGGTCAGCTCACTCCCTTAGTAAGGTCGGCGACTCTGCAGGCAAGGTTAGCGCCACGCATGCAAAGTCGTGGTGTCTTTGTTCCGGTTACGGTTGGGTGGGATGTTCACTTAGCTGACGGTGCGGGTGTTCCTAGTTGGCGGTATCAATTCCGGCGAATGTCCCGCAGTTAGAAATGTGCCAGGATTACAGAAGGAAACTATAAAACAATCGCGTCGACTGCACGGCACATAGCAAGGTTACAATCACCGCCACAACATTGCAACCAACGGTCACGCTCATAACATTGTCCATTTCTTCTTCACGCAGTAGATTGGATTGGATTGGATTGCATTAAATTTCTTTCTGACTTCCATCAAAATCCAAACTATTTGAAACCGAAACTTAATAACATTTCTTAAAATTACTAAAAGCAATTTATATTGTTGCTTTATATAAAAACAAATACATTTTTAAATAAATTATGGTACCATAGGGTTCATAGCTTCAACAAATTTGTATGTTTAGATAGCGAGTCCGGAGTTTACGGGTCATACTTGGTTGATTTGGTCATACACGATTCAAATCCAACGCTAGCAGCCTGTGTGGCTTTGAGACGCGTCGCTGCTTTCGGTGTCCCCGATGTTTCTGCTTGTTTATTAACTCTTTTCTCGCCGTTGGAAATTGTGAGTTATCAAGGCGCAAACTTTCCAAAGACGCTGCAGGAAAAATCAACGGAGTTCAACTCGCACCACCGTTAAACATCAGCTAAGTGAAAACATGCCGTCCTTGTTTGACAGGACCGGTGCGCTAGCTCAAACCATAACAAAACGGACTCGTAATTTTCGTTGCGTTTAGCTGTTCATTTTAAGCTCTCCTACCTCCCCGCGATTCACATATTTGCATGCTTGTGATGGAGCGCTTTTCCCGATACTGACTGTTGAGGCTGCTTGCAGGATTGGTACAAAAATGTCCCGATGGTCTGTCAGTTAACTTTGCTTGTAGTATGACTCAAATCTACACCGTAATGAGCGTGCAAGTTTGGCCGATCGTAGCGTTCAAGTCACTGCGGCGACCGTGTTTGCAAGCGACCTGCGTGCTCTTGTGCTTAGCCCACTTTTTGTTTTGCTCAATTGCCACTTGTTTGGCCGTGTTTATTTGATCGTAGGTTCCCTTTCTCTCCTGACGCCTCATTCACCCGATGCCGCTAGCGAGTGATCGGATCGCTCCTATTAAAAGACACGTTCTGCCATGAGGTGATAACTGCAAGCTCCACAAGTTATTTTGCACTCTTATCATTTTAATTGTTGCAATGCCACAAGTATTTTTCTATTTTTTTATGGGAATGAAGTTTTCGTTTTTCAAATGTCACTACTGCTTGCTATTCACTTTTTTTTATTATTATTTTTTATTTCCATGGTAAATGTTCGTAAGTATTTTTAGTTTTCCGCAGTAGCGAAACTGCTGTGGTACTTAAAACACTTGTAAAAAGCGACCAGCTCTAGACGAGTTATACATAGGGAACCTGCTAGAAAAGGATAAAAAAGAGAGAAAACATAGCTAGTAATTTTTATCATAGGTGTAACATAGTGTTGGGTGTTACCGCGTGAACCTTCGGGAGGTTGCATCGTGTGCGAGAAATGGCAGAGCATGCAGTTGTGTTTGCCTCCATTTCTTTAAGCTCCGGCTGTATGTACCAGAATTCTTTAGGTTCCAGCGTCATGTTTGATTTTAGGTGGGAGCTAAATTACATTTGACTATTCCGGCCACTTTTATTTCTCAGCTGTAACATTTTGTACCAACTGTCAAAAGGAGTACCAAACCCGACTGGCACACAGTCGGGTTTGTATCTGCGTCAGTGTCCGTCGTCAAAAGTTACCACAATGGGGCTCTCAT